CGCTGTTACAAGCGTACAGATCTTCTGTATATTCTCGCCATCTACGTTTGATACCTTGCTGGTCCCTTAATTCTTTGCCTTCCTTATCTTTGATGGAACCCTTGCGCGCTGAGAAGGGCGTTCGAATCCTTTTCACCTGTGCAAATGCGCTTCTGGTATGACCCCTCATGGACTCCTCTTCCAGTAGTTCGCACTGTTGGTTCCAATATGCTTCTTTGTCCTGTCTCGCTGCCCGCTGAAATTCCGCATTCAACCTCGCGGTCTCCTCTCGTTTGCCCGCCGCTTTGGGGTACTTCTTCTGGGGTACTTCTATGTTAAAGGTTTTTGGTGCTAGAATGTTACCTTCATCCATCTCAACTGCGTTGGGAGTGGCTTTTTCTTGGTCCCCGGTGTGGGATATATCTCCCCTCGCCTGCTGCGACAGGGCTAATTGAAGGAGGGGGGATATGGAGAAAACATTATCCTGCTGTGACTGTTCGTGGGGATGCTTCAAATTTTCTTCATTATTTTCCTCGACGCCGGTTGATTTGGACATTACTGTCGCCAACTTAGCCTGTATTCACATACAGGCTGAGGCCGGGATTCTCCGATGCCTCGAAATAAGGCTTTAACCTTGAAATATGCACATTCACTTTGCTTGGATCGTAAGAATATAGAATCTCGAAATTGTTTGGCCGTCTCTCTCAGGACTACACAAGGGTCTCTCCATTTTGAAGAAAATTACGGTTTAAACTCCCCCTGAAGTTATTTGCAAACTATCAAAAGGAAGAGTTAGCGCAAGTTCTCTTGAGGCAGAAAGGTACACCTTCCTACCATCACCCTCTAACTTCCGTTTGCACAGCTCCATAGGTGCACCACTGAAGGAATGCTCTGGAACAATGGAGCCTAGCATTTTCGGCTAAGGGGCCACATAGCTCACTCCCACAGCAATCGTGGGCCAGTCACTAATATTATAGAAAACTAATTTAGGGAAACTCAAGAGTATTTGCTGTGGATTAGGGCTTCGCGGGCCAATTTTCCCCAGCGGATTGGACACCGCTACTAAAAAAGGTCCGATACGTAAGTTCCTTCAGGATGTCCTGCCAACAAATAATTTTTTACTTGCTCGTGTATTTTAGTAAATCTAAAGCAGGTAGCTGATCCAACGACTTCGATTAGCTACTTTTTCAAATTCCACGGTATTGAGTATTCCTCACAAATTACAGTGATCGTCTGCAAAGAAAGTTTCACTTCTACTTTCAGAATATGTTGGTGTATTGAGAGCCAGAATCGCAGGGTATGTCTGATGAAAGTACCAACCAAGCCACAGCATAGAGGAGGTCGTGATTATGCATGATTGCAGTGACGTCACAAGGATGCGCATAGAAGGGCCCGGTTGTGAATTGCGAAGGTGAATGAGGCCCGCCGCTGGGGTGCGTTTTCAGGCCAGGATTTTTTGAAAATGTGAGAGGCTGGAGTTATTCATAGTTGCTTACATGCCTTATTTGAAGAGTGGGTGGTGTTGCTATGGTTATTCCTTATATTTATATTCTCAGCTGTTTTCATTAACCTACGGTTTTGTGGGGTTTGGTCCTATTTTTAATTTTTTATGGTTTTGATTTTGTTGTTTAATAATTTTTTGCAGTAATATATATTTAGGTAGGGGATCTATAAATTGCTATTTTTCATGATTGTAAGTTGGGGGGTTGGCTTTACATGGGTGGACTTGTGTGGAGTTGTGTGGGGGGGAAGTTATTTGTTATGACTGGTGGGGTAGTAATGGTGATGAGGGGGGATGATGACTCATCTGTGAGATTTCACGACGTGATGTGACTTAAGGGGCACGTGGAGTCCTGGTGAGGTCCTTCTTGACTGGTGTGGAGTTCAGGGAGTGGATTAAGGGTTGGGTTTTTGGTGTGCTGACCATCATTATTCTTCTGAGGAGGTTATCGACTGGGTAGGTCCTTCCTCTCTTACGTTTCTTAAATTTCATGAATTTACTGCTGCTGTATCTGATTGCTATAACGTCTTCTGGTCTGGCTTCGTCTTTAAAATATCTGAGGGGCTAGACTGGAAGCTTATTGGGGAAGGGGTGTGATATCTGCTTGGGAGTAGCAGTACTGATTAGTTGTATAAGAGGAGGTTCTGAGGGGCAAACCTGATTGCAGCCGTTCCTATAATGTTGAGCCTAGAGAGGGCTGCATCTGAGCAATTGGCCCAAGCTGCATGACCATAACGATACCAGCATCAGTTAAACGTTGACTTGGTCCATTGATCACTCCAGTTCTTCAGCGAACTCGCAAGCAGGCAATGTATGCTTTTTCATGCGTGAATATTGGCTCTGGAAGTTGAAATCCGACTTGTTGTAATGCCCTTCCCTGAGACTTGTCTAGAACCATACTAAAGACAAGCTCGGTAGGGAATGGTGAAGAATTCAATTGAGAAGTCGACCTGCCGATTGGGGTCTTCCTCACCATGATCGTTATTCACTGTGTCGATTCTGCGACGTTGATTCTGGCAAGGCTCTTGCGATCGTTGCCAGCGCTTCAGTGGGCGCCATCGGCGCTTTGTCCTGAATGATGACATCGGTAACTCGAACCAGCTGATTTTTGTGCGAAATACAACGCGTTTCCTGCTTCACTAGATCCAATGGCAAGACTAAGGCCACGTGTCACGTCATACAATAGGGAAGCAGAAAAGCAGTACCAGTCCACGCAATCGTATCCTCCTCTAAATGTACTATGTTTCGCAAAATGATGAGAGGTTGAAACTGGGAAGACGAATGGCCGTTAGGTTGCTGACTCCAGGAGATTTTCTACTTTGAGGTACATGCCCTGGGGGCGCATTTCAAGGGGACTGATTTCGTAGGCCTAGGTCTAACCCACGGTTGGACNCCCCTCATGGACTCCTCTTCCAGTAGTTAGCACTGTTGGTTCCAATATGCTTCTTTGTCCTGTCTCGCTGCCCGCTGAAATTCCGCATTCAACCTCGCGGTCTCCTCTCGTTTGCCCGCCGCTTTGGCTGCTCTTCTTTGCTCCGCGAGATTTATGGTGCCTTCTGTTAGCCATTTGCATTTCTTCTCCTCTGGCTTCTTGTATGGAATATTCTTCGTCGCCGTTTCGAAGATGATCGACTGGAATTCCTGCCACAATTCGTCAGGCAGTTTCTCGGAGGTGTCAAGCAATTCAAACTTGTTTTTCACCTCAACTGCGTATGAAGGTGGAATCTTTGAGACATCAAACTTCTTTGGCGGCACAGTCTTTTTGATGTTACATAACTTGACTTTGATTTTGGCTACGAGCAATTCATGATCAGAGCCGCAGTCTGCACCAGGATACGTTTTGACAGCAAGCACAGAACTACTCCACCGTTGACTGCACAGAACATAATCGATCTGGTTACGATGTGATCTATTTGGGGATGTCCATGTGTAGAGGTGGCGCTTGTGCTGCATGAACCATGTGTTCGCGATTTTGAATCGATTTTCCTGGCAAAACTGTATCAACCGGTCACCCGCATCGTTTCTGACGCCGAGACCGAACTTGCCAACTAAGCCTGGCTCTTCTTGGCAGCCGACCTTCGCATTGAAATCTCCCAAGATGTAAATGACATCTTTTTTGGGCACTCTTCATTAGAGAGCATAATACTCAAATTAATATCCTACGAAGGTGAAATCTGTACTATTTGAAATTGCTATGAATCCCCGTAGTTTCTGATAACTGAAAATATTGCGACTGAAGACATCCTCACATCACCATGACAAATATCTTTTGCGAGGGTGAAGTTTAGCAAAAAATGCTTGCTTAAAAATAAAACTGTCGAAGAATTTACATGCTCCTTATTCAGTACTAGCTGCTGTCAGATTTAATTATTGTATAAATCAGTCTGCTGATCAACAAACCACAGGTCTCAGTAACAACAGAAATATTATTTACCATTCTTTCTTATTTTCCATTTCTCGGAACCAGAAGCAAAGCGTTTTTGCCCTATGTAGTGCGGCTGAAAAGTTAATATGTTTAGCAATGAAATGGCAAGTACCAGCCAATTCAATATCTATGGTTTCAACAGCATTGAAAATTTGCGCTATTTGCGCGATCAGGAAGTCTTATTAAGAATATATTTGCACTTCAAGGTCATAAATTAATGAAAATGATAATTAAAAATGGTGATTGGATGTATTTCAAGGTTGCCACGTCAGTATTGCGAGAAACCACATGATGGTTATTCATCCGAAAGCAAATACAGAGATCCGCCTAGCAAAACAAGAGATACTGATATCTGATACCTCCCTGTCAGCTCGCACGACATTCACAAGTCTCACACGAGCGGTAGGCATTCCCAGCACCAGTCAGTTGGGTCTGCACTCTGTGCGACTCCCCGCCAGCCAGCATGTCCAGAAAGAATAACAAAGTCCCGCCTGACTGGCTCGATTGTCCCGAAAAGTGTTCGTGCCTCATCGGGGGGAAGTTCCTCGTCTGCAAGACTCCGCTCGATTACAAGTTTGACGGCCGATTGCAAGGGAGAAATCCCTTTCACCCTGAAACGGCGATCAAGTCGATGGAGAGTCTTCGAGTTAAAATCGGTCTATGGATCGACCTGACGAACACAAATCGATACTACGACCCCAACATCCTCAAGGGGAAAGATATAACGTATTACAAGCTGGCAAGTCCCGGCGGCGGCGAGACTCCTTCTCCGGCTCTGGTAAAAACTTTCAATAAGATCTGCGATGCCTTCATCAAGCAGAATCCGCAGAAGATCGTGGTCGTGCATTGCACGCATGGCTTCAATCGAACGGGTTTCTTCATCTGCTGCTACCTTGTCGAGAAATGCGACTTTGACGTGGGAAAAGCCGTGGCTGATTTTGCGAAAGCCAGACCTCCTGGCATATACAGGGAAGAGTATCTGCAGGAGCTGTTCCTTCGCTATGGGGACGTGAAGGACACCCCAGCTGCTCCTCCGATGCCGGATTGGTGCACGAAATGAAGGAATATTCCAATGGTGGTTCCACCAGAGGAATCTGTGGCGTCCAGAATGCCGAAGCAGTAGAGAAGAAATCATACCCAGCCTGTTCGACATTTGCTACTATCGCGACAAAAAGTTACTCTGAATAATCGTCTGATGGGAAGAAAGAGGAGTTGATTTTCTTGCTTTATAGGTATTTTATTGACTTGATTTGCAGAGCTGCTTGAATTCAGACACAATGATCGATTACTTCTGGCATAACTCTGCTTAATGCAATCACTTTTGATTTTCGGAAAACTGAACAAGCTTCCATTGTGAAATGTGAATACGATGTGAACTTTATGTGTTTATTCCGCTGGGGCAATTTGGTGAGTATGTAATAAAATATATCCTTAATCTGATTAGTTCCGTTCCGTTTTTGTGCTGGTGACTCAGCTCCATGCTGTTATTTACCCTCATATCTCAAAGTTTTTCTGTCTACCTGAAACAAAGGACAACGAAGTCACAAAGCGTATTACCTCACCCAAACACATACATAATACACTAATAATTTTCAGAATGAACTGAGAAGACTCAGTCAAAAAATTTTCATCAGGCCATCAATGGCTTTTCGTCGACGCGGATATAAGCCTTAGTTGGGCCATCATTGGCATCTGGTTGGATTAAGCCAGCTTATGGTAGGCCTATCCTGTTGGCCCTTCATTGGGTCAGCTTTGGTTCATTGCTGGGATACCGCACATGCCCCAGCCATACGCTGACTTTTCACTATGATGAAAAGATAGGGAATATAGGGATAGGGAAATATAGGGAAAAAAAACCTACATAAACTGCAACCACAATAGTATACATTATTTGGACCCCTACTGCTGTTGCACCTGGGAGAGATGAAGAAGCAGTACCTTACCAGAGTACCTTACACAGGTACACTCCTATCGCCCAGAGGTGAGAATATCCCACATAACAACCTTTCCGGATGCATATGCATCAAGGAGCGAAATCATATTGGAATTCAAGAATATCTGCCCTCCCGCAGGAGGCCACCCCCCTCTATTATCATTTAATGGTTCTTCATGGCACTCCATGCATTTTGAAGTTCCACGCAAGTCCATCCTGCCAGACTTTGTGGCGTTTATTGCCGCATCTTAATCTTTCTACAAATACTTATTACTTGTCTTATCCTTCTTGCTGATTGTTATTGGCTATTTCCATCGTCCTCTGGCTCTTGCTGCGTTTTTGGTTTTACCTTTGGGGTTTCCCATTTCTTTGCAAATGGCAATATCCCAACTTATTATACGTAACTATAAATTGTAAGTCGGATGCGACCTGCATAAGCACGACAGAAGACTGAACGATAAGAGTGAGAATTTAAAAACCTTGCTGTCAGGAGAAAACAGGAAATGCCCCAGCAAGAAGTTATAGAATTCACCGATGGTTCATTTTCCGATCAGGCAATTTCGCAACGTCTGCACTGCTGATACTTAAGGAGTTTATGCATGTCAGTCACCTTTTACTCAGTCCTAAAACTATCAAAGGACTGAATGGAGGTGCAATGCAGATTGTCATATGCCCTAAAATATACTTATTGATAATATTCGAAACATGTTGAACAATCGGACTCTCGCACAGTATTCAACTGTGAAGTATTCAGCGTGAAGGAGCACCTTGTTTCCGTTGTCCACAGGTCATTATTTACCCAGTTGAGATGAAAGAGCTGTGATCGCAGGGATGTCACAGTGCATATGGCACTATCCTGTGTAGAGAGTTTGCTGAAGGGAGAGTCGGTGTTTCTGATGATGGATGGGAGGAGTGGCAGGCAACGCTTTCAGATCGTCCGTAAGCATCCTTGGCACCCAGCGAGCGAAAACTTTCCGGTAGTGCAGCTCGTTGTGAACAATGTCACGCACTACACCATATCCAATGCCTAATTCGAAGGAAATAAGTAAAGTCAATCTTCTGTTATCACGAATCAGCTCATCAATTCGTGCTGCATTGCATTCCGTGTTTGGCGTGCTTGGCCTGCCACTCCTCTCATCATCAGAAACACCGACTCTCCCTTCAGCAAACTCTCTACACCACTCTGCGACGTTCTGACGGTTCATTACACTGTCACCATACACTTCAACAAGCTGACGATGAATTTCAGCTGCAGATGCGTGTTTTGCCCAAAGAAATCGTATAACACTACGGACCTCTTCTCGAGACCATGTGTCTAGACGAGTCGCCATTTTGAAGTGCTCTAACTGCGCACCCGTGATGCGCATGCGTCTCACAAATGTTAGCCTGCTAGTACAAGCTTCGAGTTCAGGTGTACCAATGCAGAAATGGCATAATAGTCTTTCTTCTCTGAAATATTCACTATGTATTCTTACTTTCCGATCAACCCTCGTAGTTTGAAAAGCAATTTCCCTCCTTCCTTTCGTGCTCTTAAAAGGTTATAGACTCCGCTCATATGAAGGAGCAGTTATTGATTGTTCTTTCTATTGATAGTTCAAAATAGCAAACTCCAGTTTCGCTCCCTTTCTTGGAAATTGCTCATTCTTTCTTAGAGTGTACGACATTAAAAGAGTTTCGTGAGATGCAAGGCACAATTGCAACAAATTCCGAATTTCTCCGGCGAAAAAACAATGTTGTTAGTATTAACTTTTTTGTAATAGTATAGATATAAATATTTGTTCATGGGAACAAGGAATGATAAGGAAATCGTTTTGTTCTTTCAGGAAGAAACTCTGCAAGTTGCTGGAAAAAAAAAAAAATTTTTTTGCTGGGAGTTTTATTTCCTTGATAGTAACGATTCTAAAGAAACGAGAATTCCCAGTCAAAAAATTTTCATCGGGCCATCGATGGCTTTTCGTCGAAGCGTCTATAAGCCGTAATTAGACCATCACTGGCATATGGTTGCCTTACTGTTGGTTTAGGCCGACTTACGGGTAGGGCATGTCCCAACCATAAGCCGATTTTTTGCAATGGTGAAAAGATGTAGGAAAATGACCAACAGGAAGAGCATCTACAGCATTATCCATCTTGGAGAAATTAGAATGCATCCTTTGGCCCCCTCCTGCTCCTTCATCTGGGACAGATGAAGGTTCGGTACCTTGTCCGGGTATCTCACACAAGTACACTCTTATCGCTAAGAACGGAGCACATCCCAAGCAACACCCTTTCCGGATGTCAAAGCTTCAAGAAGCTGAATGCAAGATGGGAATGCAAAGGTATCTCTTCTCACGCAGGAGGTCAGGCACTACTTACACGTAATAAGACTTTTCAATGTCTTGAAATGAAAAAGATAAAGTTCGGTGGCCTATCATGAAAAGTAGAAGGAACCTCCCACGGACCTCCAGGGAGGAATGTCCTGGTTTATTCCAGGGCTAGGTTACATCTTTCGAGAAACGTTTCAAGGAATTCAGTTGTCTCCCACTGAGACCTATGGATCTATGTGAGAAACCATAGGGAACTGTGTCAAAGGGACAGGGGGACTCATTTCAGTAGAATCCGAGAAGAGCCTCCCTACTGCGACTACTTTGGCTTCATCTTACGCGGTTTTCGGAATCTTCTCAGCCACATTGGGTCATCTTCAGATAATGATTTGCCAGCCAATCATTCGCCGAAGATAAGACAACTTCCTCAGTTATGGCCCAACGAAAAACTAATGAACATTTTTGACTGGGTTAGGCAGCAAGTAAAATGTCATGCAAACATGCTTTTACTCTGCCGTTCCTCGAGGTCGAGGACGACGGAGTCATCGCAATGCATCTGGTAACCAACATCATCACCATGAACTCTCTGACTAAGGTGGTTTCCCAAAACCGGAAAAAATACATCGGAGATAACAGGTTAAAAGTTGCTTGTTTTAGAACTGGCTTTTCGAAATCCCGAATGGATTTGATTTGATAAGATACGCTAATCTCCCATCTCTTTCCTCGTTGGCTTGTCCTAACTTGTTCCATGCGCACATGTGGTCGGCCTCCCAAGCATCAGCGAGTTAGAGATCTGCTAGACGCATTTGTGCGACTCGTGACCAGCATGTCCGGCGAGAACGGAACCTGACCGGTTCCAATCACAGTTCTTATAGGTTAAATAATTTTATTACTTCGCGTTTGGTTAGTGACTTACAGTATGTTACACCCTATTTGCGAATTGCTGTCATAAGTTAGTGTAAATGATGATTTGGATGGTGATTTCAAGGCATCCCTGTCAGTTTTGCGAGGAACCACATGGTGTTGTTTCATCCGAAAGCAAGCAGAGAGATACGCCATGCGAGATAAGAGATGATGATATCTCATCTCTCCCCGTCAGCTCGCACGACATTCACAAGTCTAACGACGGGTTGGCATTCCCAGCATCAGTTAGCTCTCCACTCTGTGCGACTCCCCGCTTGCCAGCATGTCCAAAGAGAACAAACTCCCGCCTGACTGGCTCGATTGTCCCAAAGTGTGCTTAAGCCTCATCGGAGAGAAGTTCCTCGTCTGCAAGACTCCGCTCGACCGCAAGTTTGACAGCCGAATGCAAGGAAGAAATCCCTTTCATCCTGAAACGGCGATCCGGTCGATGGAGAGTCTTCGAGTGAAAATAGGTCTATGGATCGACTTGACGTATACGTATCGATACTTCGACCCTGGTTTTTTCAAAGAGAGAGAGATTACGCATCGCAAGCTGGCTTGTCCAGGTGCCGGTAATATTCCTTTTTCAGCTGAAAAAGAAAAGTTCATTCAGGTTTGCCATGAGTTCATCGAGAAGAACCCGAACAAGGCCGTGGTCGTTCACTCCACGTATGGCTTCAACAGACCAGGTTTTTTTATCTGCTGTTATCTCATTGAGAAATGTGAGTGGGATGTGATGGCAGCTGTGGCTGATTTTGCAAAAGCCAGACCACCTGGCATATACAAGGAAGTGTATTTGCGAAAGTTGTTCCATCTCTATGGGAAGGGCAGGGACACCCCAGCTGCTCCTCCGATGCCGGATTGGTGCACGAAATCGACAAATATTCCGAATTCGCTTCCTTTGAGGTCCTATGAGAGGTATCTGTGTGGCCTACAGAAAGTTGAAGCAGCAGAGAAGGAATCATATTTCGTGGAAGGAGTATCCGGGGTCACGCTTGTGACGGATCAGCAAGAAAGCATTCACATTAGGAGAAGAGTGGAAGAGATGTGCGCTTGGAATAATTCCTGGTTTCCGGGAACGTATGCTATCTTTATGGACAGGAAAAATATGTCACTGCTATCTGATGCTCCTTACAAGGTGTCTAGGAAAGCTGATGGCACTCGATACATGATGCTATTTGACGGTGCACAAGAGGTCTATTTTCTCGATCAAGAAAACAGAGTGTTTTCTGTGGAGAATTTGTCCTTCCCGAAGAGAAACGAAAGCAATTACTACTTGTCCGATACTCTCGTTGACGGAGAAATGGTGATTGACGAAGTAATGGGCCAAAAAATCCCACATTACCTCATCTTTGACGTCGTCCGCTTCCAAGGACGGCATGTGGGACAGGAGGACTTCAATAAGAGGTTGACTTGCATTCGTCGTGAGATTGTTGAACCAAGGCAAGCCGCGAAGACTGAAGGCCTCATTGATGAGAGCAATGAATGTTTCGACATCCAAACCAAGGAATTCTACGACCTCTCGGAAGCCAAAAACCTATTGGGTTCCGAATTTCCAAACAATCTGGTCCACCAATCGGATGGCCTCATCTTCCAACCGGTGAATGAACCCTACACGCCTGGGGTTTGCAAGTCCCTCCTCAAGTGGAAGCCGGCCTCGACCATCTCTACCGATTTCCTCTTGAAGATCGTAGATAAGGAAGAAGGAGGACCTGAGAAGTCTCGAGGATTCTTATTCGTCTCACAAGAGGATAAACCCTTCGCAGTGATGAAGGTGACCCAAGATCTCCGACGGTACGACAACAAGATCATCGAATGCACATTCAAAAACGGGCAGTGGGTGTTCAAGCGGGAGAGGATCAACAGGTCATTTCCAAAAGGAATAGTGACAGCCAAGATAGCTTCCAAATCCAGTTCTAAGCCTGTCACTGAAGGTTATTTACTGAATTACATTGACCAAGCTTGTTCGTGATTTGCCACTGTACACGGCAAAAAAATCCCTCTGAAATATCGTCTGAAGGGAAGAAAGTGGAATTGTTTTTCTTGCTTTGACTAACTTGAAAATTATTTGGACGATAACGAGAAACATCGCTCAAATGAAACTTCTCCATGCTCTAGCTACGATATACAGTGTGTCCTGGAAAGTAATGGTTCCTGAGTCTGAAAGTGACGCATAGAGTCAGTTTACGACAAGAAGGTGCCGCTGATAAGAACCATAAAGGAGAGAGCATGCAGCACCTAACATGCGTTGTTGCCTTTTTTCTTTTAGGTAATGGCAAAATTTCCAGAATTTCTTGTTTCAGAAGGATTCAATTGTCAAACTTCTTTCAGAAAATAGCATCACATTTTCAAGGTGCTGTCTGCCTTGGGCGGGGCACATTCGGACTCGCTTTTCTAGTGACTTTTGGCATTAAAAAAAATTTCAGAGATTGTAAATGCATGCTGCTGAATTGCAGCCCTCAGCATCTGCTAATTCCCAAGTCGAATGACACAAAAGTATGCTTTAGATACCCCCAAAGGAAAAAATATATAATGGGGTCAAGTCAGGGGATCTTGCTGGATTGTACCTCCTCTGCCGATCCATCCATCGTCCAGGAAAGTTAATGAGAAGGAAATTGTGAACTCCTGTCTGTTTGAAGCGATGCTCCTTCAAGATGTTGCGGACGGAAGTTTTTGACTTATTTACAATTGATCTAGTCTGATGCATGTACTGCTCATAATGTTGCTGAAACTGAAAGGACCCTTCGATCCTCCATAGATGTTGCTATTTTTGGCCTCCAATGACCCCACGTATTGTCAATACTTCCATGTTGCAGGAACTTCACATTTTTGCGAATTTGGGAATGAAAGGAGGAGCTCTCCCACATTTTACCTACTTTGCTTTTCACTAAAGTTAGACACTTTTTCACTTGAATTCGACACTTATGCATGAGGCACGTCCCATGCACGTGCGTCTGAGTCAAGTGAAAAATTGTATAACTCAAGTGAAAAACAATGTAGAACCTCTGCTGAAAGGAGGTTGGGTATCTCGCCACTAAATACTGTACCTCTATACGATATCAGCCTTCTCTTGCTGTGAGTAAATAGGTAGCGTTCAGAACTAAAATAGGTTCACTCGAAGGACTCCTTAAGTGTAACGCCCCTTAATGCTGAAAAATATCCTCAATTTGCATGGTCCAGAACATTCTAGGACACACTGTACAGGTGTATGCTTTGACTGTAAAATTGGCATCAGTCTGTCTCCGGTTGCAGGTCATTTTCAAGGTCGCAGTTTGCTCGGTCGTGTGAACTAGCTCAAATATTTTTATTTCTTCGTTCTGATTGCATATTTGGAATCTCCAAAGGATTTCCTTTAAAAAGGCACATTGTTAGCTGAAATCAGACCAGAACTTAACCTTTTATGCTCATATTTCCGATGGGTGATCAAGCCCCGCGCTTGAAATTTAATATGGGCATAACTTTAGAACAATGGTTCAGAAAGGGGAAAATTTTTACCATTTCCTTCCACCAGCAAATTGAACTCCACACACCAATTTTCGTCATATTCAGAGATAGTACCCCATAAGAATCCATGTCCCATTAGGTGATTTGACATGGAATGATCCCTCTGCATAAACAATTCTTGTAAGTATTCGTCAGATGGGAAGAAAGCAGACTTGATTTTATGGCTTCCTTGGGATTTTTATGGACTTTCTTGACAGAGCCGCTTGAATTCGAGGATCATTCCTTTTTTTCATAATTTGGCATGGATATTGTCTCAGCAAGCCGTTTATATGTGAGCTGTCATTGTGAGACGTAAACATGTAAATTTTCACTTTCACTATTTTTCTGAATCCATTTGCTGAGTATGTAATAAAACATGTACTAGTACTAAATCTAATGTGTCTCTTTCATTTCTTTGCTCTAATTGACTTTCCCTCATTCCTTGGCTAAACACTTGCAATTGTTAGATGTCCACACTCAATATGCGGTTCTAAACCGAAAGAGGCACTTAATTTCATCAGCAAAAAAATTTTATTCATATTATGCTATATGTAGCTGGATTTCAGTGTAAGTCATGACACCAAGACAATCATATCAGAAGCGGCAGAAGAATCTATTCATTTTTCAACCTCTGAATCTCTCAATTTCAACTCAGTTTTGCCTTACTACCGCTAACGTTAATGAATTAATGTTAAGGCTACCATTATTGATTTGAGACCAACACTAACAAGTAGGGTGAACACGCGAGAGGGCCGAATCGTTCCAACATGACCTCAGCACCAACCAATGGAAAAGAAGGCCAGGAACCTTATTTTTCTGCCAGGAAGCTGTTTTACGCCGTCTGGAATAATTTGTTGAAGCCTGATGCGCCACTTCTGCATCTCTCTGCCAGCGACAACCATTCAGACGCGGACCCCTACTGAAGTAGAGGTTGAATTGAAGGAGCTGGGGATCCTGGAACCCACTGCTGGAGGTGGAAATGCAGTGGAACCTCCTATAGACGTCTTGTCCGCATCTTCGTAGGAGGAGAATGGGGTCGTTCACAAATTACGTAACGCAAGGGGGGAAGATGGGGACAAAGTGTTACGATTTGTTACGGGGGGGGGGAGGACGAATGTGCCGAATGTGCACGAATGTGACGTAACAGGTCTTTTCATTGAATAAATAAATAAATTATGCGACTGGAATTTCTTATTAAAAGGGTAATTGTTTAGTAAAAAACCACTCACATGACGCGAAGAGCGTTTGGCCTGTCTGGGCAGGTCCAGGCATGAAACTGCGACTTATGCGAGTTTTGCACAGAGGAGGGAAGTCAACAGACGTTCTCACGCTCCCAATGCCCACTCCACTGTTAGTAAGGGAGGTGGGCGTGGGTGGGTAATAGGGTTGGCTCTTCATTTGTCTTTCTCTCGGCATCGCGATCTCTATTTTCACCATTCTACCCTACATTTTCCAGTCTCCTTTTAACCTTTTTTAAAATTAATTAATCATCTCTCAATGTGTGTAATCCAGAGTGTTAGTTATGGGTGTTTAATAAACGAGTTTCTGTTTCAAATTCATTTTACTTATTTACTTATCTTATCGTGAAAAATATTATGAAGGAGGGGGAGTCATATTTTGTCACGTAATTTTTTATCTTCTTTTCTTCTTTTTGGGGGGGGGGGGGGGGGGGTAGAAGATGGCTCCCTCTGGCATAGCTCTGACTAACCGCCTGCTATGTGAATATGTGGGGTGCTTCTGCTCATGATAAATGCTTAAAAAGTTCAAAAATCACGTTACGTAAATTGTGAACCGCCCCAATGGATCTCACTTTCATGACTTTTCGGGCAGAAACATTGTGGAAGACCAAGCTGGTCTCGAGTCCAATATCTAGTGCGCTGCATCCTCAAGGAAGAAATTACGCATTGGAGATCAGGATGGTTGACGGATAATAGTTATGAAACCTCAATATCCGGGTATTTCGTGCTATCATGTGCCCAAGGCGAGTCATTTTCGGGGCAGTTCAATATTTTTCAGTTTGCAGTTCAATATTTCCTAACATCCTTCCCTTATCCATAAGGGAAGGATGTTAGGAAATACTGAACTGCAAACTGCTACGCGAAGTATTAGATAGAGTGCACTTCTCAAAGAGAAGTTAGGATTTAGCTCTTTTTAAGCATTTATCATGAGCAGAAGCACCCCACATATTCACATAGCAGGCGGTTAGTCAGAGCTATGCCAGAGGGAGCCATCTAGTGAAGATGACAATGTTCCTAGATCCTTGCAGAAACCCTGACAATGCGCAGACAGCTCCGCCTTTTTTTTTTGGTAATATAGCTGGGGATAAACTATATTTTGCGCAGAAAGTTAAAATATGTAATGAGCTAATTTCGAACGATACGGTAAACAGCCAGAAAGGCTTGTCCGAAATCACAGCAATCATGTCATACTTCCCACTTGGGTAACCCAAGTGGGAAGAAATCGTAGGGCAACACTGATTGATATATCCGACTCAGCCTATCTCAGTGGACTCGGCACGTTCTAGTAAACCTATCTTGTGCTCGTCACGTAGGCTCAGAAAATTTTCAAATACAATCAATGAATGAATGAATTGCATGGATGAATGCGTGACCGCTTCAGTTTGCCATGGGTTAGATCTTTAGGGGGAAATGAACGTCATTCCATGGTGCGAAGGTAACCTGGGCTAGGGCGAGGCCTGTAATGCTCTTGAATCGTGTCTTCCTGCAGCAAATGATGCCTTGTCCAGTGACGAGATAAAGAGGTGAAATGATAATGAAAAATGGCTAATGAGACGGAGCAGAGTTCAGAAGAGATGACCGACTGATTGAAGATGTAGGCCTATGCCTGGTGGGGGGGGGGACTGTTTTTGGTGTTCGTGATTTTTTATTTAGCGATTTGCTCGTCCTAGGACAAATGTGGAGTTCGAATCTACTAATTGCGACCTACGGTCGGGGAAGTAATTGGGAGACATTCAACACCATTTTTGTATTAGACTAGTAAGTTACAAGGTAACTGCTTCAGCATGATGCATCGGATATGAGAGCCCATAGGCCTGGTTCAATGTCTCAAAGGACTCATGGTGAAATGGAAGGAAAGTAATTAATGCATAAGTTGCTTGCCATGTACAAAATATGCACAGTCAATGGAATGAATGAAATCAGGAGTGAGTGTAATGAAGTAGGTAATGATAAGGTTGAAGCATGTTATTTTTGGATTGAATTTGCATCCTTCAGTTGGAGAACTTCCACAAAAGTAGTTTCTTGGATCATCTGATTATGTGGATTCTCTGGAATTAGTGCTTTCACTGTTCCCCACCCAAATGGCTACAAATTCAAACTGATGAAAGTGTAACTGAGAATATCATCGATTCCTGACAAAAGTATAGGCAATTTTCAATTGCCTCCTGGGAATACCTGTCAATGGACAAATGAAAAACAGGTGCTTCGCAAAAATTTGGAACTCTTTGTATTACTCTAAGGATTCTTTTTAGAGTAATTCTGAATATTCACTGTTTCATTATTATCGGAAAACTTGTGAACTTGTGGAGAACTTGTGTTAGAATATGTGACACTTCACGGGAGGGTGTTTTTAGTGTCCAACCAGAAACTGCCAATATGAACCTTTGTAGTGATTTCATGATGAACAGATTCATCAGACCAACACCCCACTTGTGCAGAGACAGCTCTATATCTGTATTTGCTTTCTTGAACAGCTCATTTGATATCACTTTCTGTATGCACCTTATATAAGTTTTCTTCCAGCATAAGGAAAATGAATGAAACATGAGAGTGAAAGTGAAATTGTCCATTCACTGTTGGAATCAAGAAGCCCTATTATCTTGCTAAAATAATCTTATCTCAGGCTTTTATAACTTGCTTCTGCCTTTTGTGTGTTCACCTTCCATATGTCTTTCCTGGGGAGTACTCTCTTCTGATTTCCACATGTGCTAGAGAGAATTGTCATGATTTCAATCTTGATTCATGAAATTATGCCCATGCACCAAGAAATAACATATCATCTGTTTTCTGACAGTAGTATTTGCTTTGGAAAGTAAGTGGCTATTGAAAATCATGGATGTTCCAATTATATTTTTAATTTAGAGGTTTGGCTGTTTTTAGCACACATTCTCTTGAATCAATCTAGATAGAGCTTTTTTTTCTAAAAGTAATCCAGTTTTGCTATCTCCCCTCTTATTTGTTTCTGTCTTTGACAGTCAATAATTATGCCTTTTAATGTACTGTGGTACTTGCAATGTTATGGTGTCCATAGTATCTCATACATTCATGGTGTTCTCATTCCTTAATTTATCATCCTGTAAATTAATAGTTCATTTAAGTTATAATATAATGGCTATGCTTGAAAATTAGAATTTATGGCTGGAGGTGAAAAACACTGCATTCTCTTCAATTCAGGTTGATAGAGCAATGATTGTGGCTTGTTCTATGCCTTATTTGAGACTAGGCATATAACAGGACCCAGTCTATAATTTAAAATAAATTGTTATATTCACTACCCTATATTGGAATTTCATGTTCCAATAAATCTCAGTGTTTAACCAATATCTTCTGGTGATATGGTACTTCTGCTCAGTGCCTGTAGGCAGAGCTGAATTTTCTGAAATTAAGGTGTATCAAGGAGAATTTTGCAACTAAAGCATTGAATATCTAAGCTATTTGAGGAAAAATTGAATGTGTCTCAATTTTCATTCTGAGAATGGCCGCTTGTGGCAGCATAGACAGGGATGCTAGGCTTACTCATGTAATCCCCTATCTTGCATCATCCAGGTTTTACTCTTCTGTCTCCACATGATGCAGACATGTGAACCATTGAGGTTATCATTATCAAGCATTCCAGGACTCTTCGCATAGGTATACTATCAAATGAAGGTTTTTTTTTTATATTTCACAAGTTATATATAATGGAGAGAGGTGATTGCAGTGGAATTGTAGATTGATTGCTGGGCTGGTACTCAAGTTATTGTCCTGTAAATAACTAAATTTCCACACTTGTTCTATTTTTAGACTTTTGAGAATGTGCCAATAAATGATAAGCAGAATTAGATGATTATACTCTACTGTCAGAGTTTTTATGGCAAGGAGAGCCTGCTTTTCTGTTGAAAGGGATGCAATGATATTGTTACCATGTTTTGGGTATCACCTAATACCCATACCACACTTATAGCCAATCTGTTAATATTCTTTGTTTTATCTTGACAGACTGTAAATATCTCTCTTTCTCATTCTCAAGGTTGACGACTCCCAGAAGAAGGGAAGGCATAAGTCTCTGTCTCTCTCTCCTTTTCAGCTATGCAGAAGAGGTTTTAATCAGAACCAGGGATCAACTTACATTTATGTTTTATCCATTATCTCTGGCATCTCTAGATTTGAGCCTGATCTGTAACTGGGTCAGACCTTATGCTAGGATGATGCCCTGATCTGATATATTAAAAATGTTAAATATTTTTTGGCATGGGTCCTAAAGACATGTATTCTGCATCCTAGGGTTTATACTGATTTTGAATGGATTGAGAGCAACCCAAGAATGAAGTACCTGTATTGTTGACCTTGGGGTTTGGAGTTAGAAGGAGTCATTTGATAATTATACTTGATTTTGTGATAAAGGAAAGTAGCAGGTGATCATGGTGATGGCTGAGCAACCTCTGCGTTCCATGTTTATGGAAGACAGCCATGTTTTATGTGGAGACCCTTAGGCCTAAGGTTAGGCATAGGCCTACCAGGTGGTTGATACTGGAGTATGTGCAACGTGAAATATGTCAGTCATAGCTTCATGTTTAAACTAAGGCGAGTCTGGGTTTAATGCAAATGTGGACACATTTGTCCAGCTCAATGCCCAGCTCAGATTAAATAGTGTCAGTAATTCAACTTTAAATATTTGTTTCAATGGTAACCCAAGAATGATACAATGCTATAAGTTATGCAACATTTTTTACTTCTTGTAGGCCCTTAATTCTCCAAAAAGAGTAAACTATAGAGTGCAGTAAGCTTACTTTTTTTTGTACTGGAAATGTCAGAATTTCTCCTCCAGTCTATATTAGGTTTCATGTTTCAGGTATAAAATATGAAGTTTTCAGCATCACAATGTATGAGTGCAGCCATCAGAGTCTTGATGAGTTGGTGGGAGCCTGGATGCCCTGGCTTAGCTTTATGTTGTGTCAAGCTGTTATAAGGAGACATACCATTCTCTTATGAATTAAAATATGGAAGAAAGAAATGAGAAAGTTTTAATTTTTATGGATTCTACATCTTCAGAGACCTCTGTGAAGGAGGATCATGGAGCATACCTTTTATTGCCTATTCAAGAAAGTTTACCTGTGAAGAAGACTGTGGAGAAATGTGGAATGGGGAAAAAGGCTAGGAAATCCAGGCTACATCAGTCCCCTGAAAGTGACAAGCAGTTCCAAACTGAAATTGAAATGCGGGAACATCAGGTCTGCCCTGAAAGACCCACTATTCTCTTAAAGTGTGATATTTGTGAGTGTGCATTCAAGAGGGAAGAGGAGCTGAATGCCCACAAGGTTCGTCGCCACACGCGTCGGCAACCAGTTATATGTGATATCTGTGGAAAACCTTTCCAACGCAAATCCCTCCTGAATAAACACAGGCAGCGGCATGCCGACCAGTCACCCTTCAAGTGCGCCGAATGTGGCTGCACCTTCAAGAGGGAATATGAACTGAAGTCTCATCAGGTTCTCAAACACATCGGAGAGAGACCAATTCAATGTGGTGATTGTCAGATTGTATTTCACAATGTGGAGGAATGGAACAGCCACAGAAACACTCACACATATGGGAAACTATTTAAATGTGATTGCTGTACTGAATGTTTCTCATCTGAACAAGAGCTCCATGAACATTTAGAAGCACATGTAGAGGCAAAACATTATCAGTGTTGGATATGCAACATGGCATTTCCCCAGCTGTCCTCCTTGAACTTGCACGTCCCGTCTCATTACACAGATGAGTGGAAAAAGATCAAGAAGAAGCAGCAAGCATGTACTTCAGTGTATGAAGAAATGATGCAAAGGAAAGTGAAGTCTTACCAATGTACCCTCTGTGAGAAGCATTTTGCCACCAAAACCCATCTTGATTTCCATAGATCCACCATCCATCTGCAAAACATATAGCAAAAATGTATCCTTGTTATGCTTACATTTTTGAGAATTTTTCATGATTGCACAAAAAATATACTGATTCGGTTTTTTTTTTAAAGGCTTTCTCGTCATGTCATTTCATTTGTACCTGTTTTGATATTACACGCTGTAATATAGTCATAGGCTGAAATGAAACAAAGGTAATTATTTTTCATGTTCTTTGATCCATTTCTTTTATTGTGTTACGTGTTCGTATGATCAGGCGTCCCTTTGGTAGATGAACTACATCCATATCATGCATAAAACATGACTAAGAAAATGTTATGAGTTACAGAATTCCATGCATTGGGGTCCATTGTTTCTTATTTACACTGGCATCATATTGAATTTTCTTTGTTTGCAGAGAAAATATGTAGGCACAAGACCAAAATTATGCTTCAGCATCACAGGGATGAGAGTCTTTCACTTAGCATCTCAGGAATTGATAACCAAGACCAAGGAGTTTGGGAAGAATCTCAAGCTGGAGGATGTGCAGGAAAGTGAGTAAAGATTCAATTGCTTCCTCTGCCTAGTGATTGATTCATGGCTAGATGTGCTGAATAGAGGCTCTCTTTCAGCCTTCCTTACGTTTCTAAATTCCACGGATGGAAAGTCAGCTGATGGGAGGCTTGTGGATGCCATCTTGCAGCGGCTCTATGAGATGCGCACATGGTTCTGCCGGCAACGTCTCTTTCACTTCTATGCCAGTTCTCTGCTTGTGATCTATGATTGCCTTTCACCACAAGAGGATGAGAATGGGCCTCAGGTGTGCCTCAAGATGATCGACTTTGCCAATACTTACCCGTGCCTTGATGGTTCCCTGGACTCCAACTACCTTGGGGGCCTCCAGGGTCTCATCAAGATCATGGAATCTCTCAAAAAATAAAAGCCTCTTTCTTAGGATTTGCATAGGATAGGCAGTAGTTATTCTCAGTGAACTACCTGCATAGCACCTGAGTTTGGTTTTCTGGAGAAGTTTCATCCTGAGAGAAGAATCCAATCTCTCTTGGTAGAAATTAGTGAGCTCAGACTTTGCTGCTTGCAGTTAATGCTAGATATACCTCTTCTGTGCATTAATATGAATCTCACATGCCCAGCAATTCATCCAGTTTGCAAGATTGAAAAGAGTCTACATTTAGAGCTGCAGTAGATAGGTTCAGATTATTTTTTTTTTAGGAAAGAGGTTTCACTGCCATTGGTAACTTTAGTGAGAAGATTGAAGAGCTTTTTGGAAAATATACAAAGGTATTACTTTATATTGCAGCCATGTAATCCTTTGTGAATTTGTTTTTTGAATACATTCCATGCAGGGTTGTCATGATGGGAGGTCCAAAGTCATCAATGCATTTACTAGATTGGTAGATAGCACAGTACAGAATAGATTTTTAGTCTTTTCTGTGCTGTGGTTGGATTATTTTGTGCCATGGACAGGGCCAGTAACCAGAGTGGGTGTATTTGAAAATGGCATTAACAGATAATTAAAAAATTAAATAATTAAAACACCAGTTAAGTTACTTTTTTATTATCTCAAACTGTTTACCTGAGATCCCATCACTTTTGTAAAAGTAGACTTAAATTTCATACTTATCAGTCTTTCCTTTGCAATGTGAAATAAAATCAGTGATGGTGAGGCTAATGCATTGATATGACAACCATAATTCCACATGGAATGTCCACTCATGGTCCAAAGTGAGAATGTGGTAGAAATTTCTCATTATGTGATTTAGACTTAGTTTTCTAGTCATTTCCTGTAGGCAGAATCATCTCTCTCTACCACCCGCAATGCACTACTGAATATTGGTGCTGAAACAGATCACAGATACCTTGATGCCTGATTCCTTTTCTTTCTGAAGTGGGCTTTATTTTTTGTGCTTTATGTTGCATAACATTTAATTGGTGCTGCTTATATATGCTAATACTTCACCTTATGTTGATAGAATTCCTGAAATTATAGTTGATATATATATATATTTTTGTGCATTTTTCGAGTGTCTCAGATTACAGTAGGCCATGGATTCATAGGTGATTGAGACAATACAGATTGACTTGTTCCATTCATTCTTGTGTCATTTCTGAAGTGTTTGACTTGTGTGTGGCATGTTATGTTGAGCACGGGCTTTGGAGGATATTCAAATGCCCTGAAATCTTTCTTCATGAGTGCCAAAGTGCAATTTCTTATTTTGCCTCGAGTTGAAGAGGAAAATTACGATGTTCTTAAAGCTATACATCCTGAATTCTCCTAATCTTTGTGTTGATTATACTGTTTGACTAACAAAAAAAGTTCCCAGCTTAGCATGCTAGTGGATGGAATGCCATATGATGCATCAGGAAACAATTCACTGTGCATTACTTATAACATGTTAGTAATTCAATGAAAATAAAAATTACTGGTTAGAAGATTATACTGCCCCATCAAAATAGTGAATTATTGAACAGGCAGAAACAGAGGCACACTTTCTATTTTGACACTGTCCAGAAAACAGCTTAACTCAAGTTTTTAATAAGCAATTTCATTGAAATTTTAGGGAAGTTATTTACATGTTGGGTGTGACACCAGGATATTAATATGAAAATACTAAATTTCAGTATGATATCTATTGTGATGAGTCTTTGTTCTTTCTCAATTCCTGTTGGCCATATATATGTTGGTGATACCTGATGTTATTGCAGCTCACACTGCAATAATAAAAAGTTGGTTCTCGGAAAATCATGATTTTCACTCATGATGGAAATGCTATCACTGTTGTGTCTTTGCTTCTCCTCAAGGTAGGAGGACATATTTATTTGCTGAGAGTGGACCTTCATCACCCAAATAGGATGGGATCGCAAGAAATTGCACCCCTGGAGGTTGGGGAGAGGTATCTAGTGCAGCGAATGGATGGATCCTGGCGTATGTATCACCTTTTTCTTTGTCTATTTACAAGAAGATTTATTTACTAATGCATCAAGTAGTAAAAATATCAACCTGATCTACATGGTTGCAGCTTTTAAAGAGAATCATCAAGAAGGACTTTATGCAAAATTAGGTTTAATCTGGGTCAATAAGTTTCCAAAGGTCATGGGATTGTCAAAAAAATTTTTGCTGCCAATGAACAGATTTATTATTTTTCAGGATCACCATAAATGTGTTTGAGTCTCTGCCAAAGAGTTTTCATTTTTCATACATCTGTCAAACTTTATTAGTGTCATATACAGGGTGGGCCAAAAGTCCTGACCCATAGAATATATTTATGTGGGATTAATTCCAGGTTTCCTGTTTTTGTTTTAGGTTGTGACGACACAGGATTCCTAGAAGGCCTCACATTTTACAATTGATGAAACCAGAACTGTCAACTCCCCAAGAAAAGGTAGAATTAGTTCTCCTACTTGTTCAGGGCTTCAGTCAGAGGAAAGTGGAAGCAGAATTCAACAGATAGAACATTTACATACTTGCATTCAATTGTGCAGTGAAGTGCAAGGAGCCCAATTTGAAATTTGCTTTAATTACACAGTAAATTATCCATTAAATTAATGTTATCATTTGTTACTGAAAGTGGCAAAAAAATGATTAAACCCATTTAAAAAAATCTTTTCATTAGTAGAAATTCTTTTATGTTATACATGGGGCAGGACTTTTGAGCTCGACAATAAAAATTATTTTTTTTTATGGGTTTAATCATTCTTTTGCCACTTTCTTTAACAAATGATAATAACATTAATGGATAATTGTGTAATTAAAGGAAACTTTCAAAATTTGGACTCCTTGCAATTTCATGGCACAATTGAATGTGAGTAAGTAAACTGTTCTGCCTGTTAAATTCTGTTTCCACCTTCCTCTAACTGAGGCACTGAACATGTAGGAGAACTAATTGCACTTTTCCTTGGGAAGTGTACACTGTTGCATGTTCTGGTTCCATCATTTGTAAAAGGAGTATGCCCAGTTTCAGCCCTTAAACCATTTTCAAAGAAATGTGCATATTTCAAGAGGGACAAACCTAAAACCCTTAGGCAAACCTAAAAATGCAATTCTTTTTCAAATCTGAGCAGTTTGAAAAAGTTAGGTTAGGTTAGCCCATTTTTGGCCTTAAACCAATTTTGATGAAATTAATATTTATGTAATCAGTTTCACTTGTGAACAACAGATTTATCATTTTCATCCATATGTGAAGGGTTTCAAAAAGTTAGGTTAGGTTAGGTTAATTGATTTTGCTGTTTTCAATTGGGGCTTCCAATAAATGACATTTTGCATTGTACCAACTTAGAAAGAACATCATTTTGGAAGTAAACAGTGAATTTCAGCTAGGAATTGGAAAATCTAGCATGAATGCTTGTATGTATGATTCATGATTTAAAAGTAAATGATACACTGTAAGATTTTACAAAGTAGAATTCACTTGTATATATATTGCTTTTTTCTTGGTTCCCAAGCCTCAAAACTGTTAAAATGATTTGTTCTGATGAAAAAACTCATGCAAAAAATAACTTGATCGTTACATACCCTAACCCAACTTTTTCAAACCCTTCAGATTAGGATAAAAGTGGTATTTTATTACTCTGCAAAGGACACCCTTTCAAATGATATATGACTCAATGAATTCTTTTTAAGGGCCAAAATAACATTATATTGGGCATACTTCTTTTTAGGTCTTGTAGGCATCCTGTGTCATCACAACCTAAAACAAAAACAGAAAACCTAGAATTAATCCCACATACAGTATATTCTAGCATTACCCTATGGGGCAGGACTTTTGGACCACCTATATAAAAGTTTTCCCCTTAGGATAAACAGTCATTCCTAGAAGCCACATTTGCAGAACTCAGGTTCTCAGGAAGGTCAAGAGAAAGTCCATAAATGGTATTATCTCTCCAACTGCTACAAGGGTGACCTTTCCCAGTCTTTTTCAATGAATCACCAGCATTGTACTGCTTCGTGTGTTCTCCTCACCTGTAAAATAGATGAAAATATTATTTTAAAGTTGGGTACATAGGGCAATGGAATTATCTTGGTCATGGAAGAACACCAAATAATTTAAAAAATTAATTAGAGCAGTGGTATTTTGAAAATAAATCCTGTTCTCTATTATATTCATCTGTAGTATTTCAGTTTTTGGTTTTTATTTGTTCAGATCAAGCAGAGATCATTCACAAGCGGGTAACAGAGGAGGACGATAGTGAATACTATGTCCATTATGATGGCTTCAACCGCCGGCTGGATGAGTGGGTTCCTCGCAGTCGCATTGATGCGTCTGACTCTCGAGGGCGAGGTGACCGAGTCATCCCACCTGGTGGAGATTCCCTTTTTGATGAATCAGATCGGAAGATCACTCGTAATCAGAAGAGGAAGCATGATGAGATCAATCATGTCCAAAAGGTTAGTCTTCTCATCCCTTATTCCATTTAGGCCCTTATGAATGAGAGCTATACCAAATTCATCTTTATTTTTTGAGTACATCAGCAAGCTCTGAACTGTGGTAGTGTCTTTATATGTGATATACTCTGAAGTGGTGACTCAATATCATCTTCATCCAATGTATGTACTTTTATCAAAGACATATGCAGACATGGACCCAACAACTGCAGCACTAGAGCGGGAACATGAAGCAATCACCAAGGTGAAGTATATTGACAGAATCCAGTTTGGTAAGTACCTCATCGACACATGGTACTTTTCACCGTACCCGGACGAGTATGGCAAGCAGCCCAAGCTCTATGTATGTGAGTACTGCCTGAAGTACATGAAGCTGGAGAAGACCTTTCGATATCACCTTGTAAGAAATCAATGTAAAACCATTTGTTTTAAGTGATGGCTGAAGGGTTTCATCAAACTAATTTCATTGAACTGCTTGTAGAGTGAGTGTAAGATGCGGCAACCACCTGGGAGGGAGATCTACCGCAAGGGGACACTTTCTCTGTATGAAGTGGATGGAAAAGACCACAAGCAGTACTGCCAGCTTCTGTGTCTCCTAGCCAAGCTTTTCTTGGACCATAAGACACTCTATTTTGATGTGGAGCCCTTCCTCTTCTACATCCTCTGCGAGGTCGATCGATATGGTGCCCACATTGTTGGCTACTTCTCTAAGGTCAGCTTTCACTCTGCTCTTTTGTTTATATCATTGAGCTGGCAGTCACCTTCAGCATCAATCATAATGAGTTCTCATCCAGCCTGTTACATGTTGTTGGTTTGTTTTTTTTGCCTCCGCCTTAATCAACATTCCTGTATATGTTTTCCCTTGAAATATAATATTTGCAACTCATTGGCAAATGTCTAATGCCAATGATTCAAGCTGTGAAACTACTGCTGTAGTGATTATCCTAAAAAGAATGTAATGTTTTTGAACAATTTCAAGTTACATTGTGAGTCTTCTACAAAAGTCTGTACAAGCCTATTATACTTTACTTCAGATGGAATAAATTAGCATTTTAAAATTATCTGTACAATTGAGGATTGTGGAGCATTGTGCATGAAAAATTGAGTAGAATACCCATGTCTGTGGTTGTAATCATTGGTATATCTTGGTTAAATATGAGGCCTAAATGAATAACCCTCAGAGTTTATTTAATGTTATTTAAGTCTTTTTGGGTGGTTATGAACAGGATTCAACAAGACACTACACCTCACAAATTGCCAGTTCAGTTATGGTATCCTCTAACTCAGCAGTACTCAAACTGCTGCCTGTGGGCCATATGAAAGTATTTTTTTTTTGTTAATAAATACTATTGCATGAGTGATATATTTGGGCTGACTGGATTTCTTTTTAAGTGCAGCCTGCACAAGGTTGGTCATATCCATATGCAGCCTCCAGCACAAAAAGTTTGAGTACTGCTGCTCTAACTTCTACTAAAGAGTCAATATAGAATTCTTCTAAAGATGGGGTGTAGTGGTTTGCTGTATATCATTTCTTAGTTATTAGTATCACAACTAGGTCTATGATTGGTTTGTACAATCAAAATTTTCTGTTTCTTACAGTATCTTCAAGTCTGAAACTGTTGTGATTTTAGCTCATAGTCAAAGACGTCTGCTATTTACAACTTTCCATTATCTTGTTAATCATGAAGGTGAGTCATGATACCAGCCCCTTACTTTGATTGAAGCACCAGTGTTCATGTTGCTAGGTAAAGAGAAGGAATGGATTAGGTTTAACCCTTGCTTCATCGTGAGGGTCATAACCAGACATGGTGAAAGTTATATCATTGCTCACATTTCTCTGCAGTTTGGTTTGTAGTTGTATGTGTGATAATACGAATGGAATAGTCTCTCATAATTTTTTAAGTGCAACAATATTACCTGAATGTTTGGGGTGGATTGCGTAAAACTTACTTTAGGGCAACAAGGCTTTAACCCCCTTTAAAATTCCATTGGCTGCAATAATGGAATTTTAAAGCTTCATTTTGCTAAAGTTAGTTTTATACAATCCACTTCAGGGCTTTGGGCATTACTGATCTATCTATGCTAAACCCTCTTCTTTGATACAGGAGAGGGAATCACCAGAGAACCACAATGTAGCATGCATCCTCACACTCCCACCATTCCAACGCAAGGGCTATGGGAAGTTTCTCATTGCCTTCTCCTATGAGCTCTCCAAGTTGGAGGGAGTAGTTGGAAGCCCTGAGAAACCCCTTTCTGACCTGGGAAAACTCTCCTATAGATCTTATTGGTCATGGGTCCTTCTTGAGACCCTTCGTGATTGCCGTGGGTCCAATCTCACTGTTCGCGATCTCAGGTACTGTCACCTTTGGCATGGTTTTATTGACTGGCTACTTCTAGTAGTTTTTCTTCTGATCCTTAAAAGAGAGAGGTTCAGAAAGAGGCCTACTTTTGTTAAACTACCTGTTCATTTGCCTTTATTTAAGAATTTAATGGAAATAGGACTTGTACCATATATCTGGTACTTATGTACAAGCAGCATTCTAGTTATTTTTTTGGTTTTGAAAATCAGTTTGAATTTTCCCTTTGGATGCAGCCAGATGACTGGGATAACACCAACAGATGTGATAGACACACTACAGACATTGAACATGGTCAAGTACTGGAAAGGGCAACATGTAGTGTGTGTGACACCCAAACTTGTTGATGAAGCCCTGAAGTCCCTGACAGTGAGACAGCCAAAGTTGTGCGTGGACATCACTGCCCTTCGCTGGGCTCCGCCAAAAAAGATTCCTAAGAAGAAACCTTGATCAAGCTCTGTTTTATGTCCCCATTTTGTCCTTAGCATTAATTAAATGTTTTTTGTTATGACATTGTCTTCTAATTCTGGTGGGGAGGTCCCAACTGTTGGGGACTTCCATGAGCAGACCCTTTTTCATTTGGCTTCTTTGCCAGGCAGTTGTTCTCAGCTATGCTCCTTATACCATGTTGAGGTTTATGCAAAACATGTAAATTTCCTGAATTCAAATCTAAATCTGGCATTACTTTGTCTCAAACATGTGCAAAGGAGCTCTTTGGTTGACAATTTATTAAACCAAACAAACGAATCTGTGACCCTTGCCTATTGCTTCAAGAAAGTAAACAAATTTGAAATTAACATTAAAAGTACACTCCTGTGGGTAACTAACATTGAAGCTTATGGTGTATACTTAAGACTCCACTCTCCTGACTGTTAATTGTAATGAAAGTTTCAAGCATTCACCCTGAGTAAAATATATTTTCCTTCTCCCCTCCATCATCACCAACTCTAAGATCTACACTATTCTATATGTCCCAGGGAGAGGATAACAATTTTTTTTATTTGCATATATAACACTGACTTATTTTGTCATTTTTATGATCATGTATTTTTTTTTTGCTTTTAAGGGAAGGAAATAATTGTGTAACCTTGGAAAACAGGAAACCTCAAACAATAATGATAGAAGGAATGCATTTGTGATCAATTTCAGCTATTAGTGAACAAGCAATTGTTTAACATGAAATAGTGATGAGATAGAGCAGGTATGTTATGGAGGGTGGAGGTCATGCTGAAATTCAATTTTGAGGTTAAAATTACACATTACAAACATGACTCTTTCAAATAAAAATGTTATTCTCTAACTGGGACACTGTTTTCAGTATACATCACACTACTTCAGGAGTGAACTGGGCAGGAATGCTTGCAAGAGGAGGCTGGAAAAGCAAGAACATCACTAGATAGTTAAGTTGCACACCCTGTAAGATAGATCTTGAGGAAAAAATGAGTATTAATGAAGGTGGCAATAAATATTCACACTACATGCAAAACCTAACAGACCCAGTGATTATATTTATTATTTATTTTAATTATGAGGAACTGCAACCAGCCAGAAGAGGAGTTAGCCAAAATATAGGGAAAGAAATTTGCAGCTCAGTGAGAAACATGAAACCAATTGAGAAACAGAGGGCATGACACTAGAAAATTTCTTAAAAGCCTATACTTGGATAAAAACACATATAAAAAATACTAAATACGGGGTGATTGAAAAATAACTCCCAATTTTTTTAAAGACATAATTCATGTTGTAGGAAAGATAATAGCATTGTTCTAATGGCATTTAAAGATCATTTAGTACCACATGAATTAAAACTCCAAATAAGCACCAGCATTTTCCAGTTTTTCTTAAGCACACAATGACATTATCCACAGAGCGAAAGAGAAACTGCTGAGGAACATTCTGTAAAACTTCCCTGATTAAATCCTGACTGGTCAAGATCTCTTGATTTTCTTTGGTAAACAATTTCCTTGACCCAACTGCAAAAAAAAAAAGTCCATGGGAGTGAGATCGAAGCTTCTCGCAGGCCAATCTGTTGGTCAGCGCCTGCCTATCCACCAGTCCTTTTTTTTTTAATTAAAAAGCATGCCCACTAGGTCCAATTATTTTTCATGCATTTACTGTAAAATTTGCACCAAACTTTCACTAACACCACTTACATTCCCATCTTCCCAATCACTTTCAGTGCTCAAATTGTCTTCGCTTTCCAATAAAAACTTATTTTCATCATCACGAAGGGACATGTTTTGAAATGTTCACTAAATTTCTAAATTATGGGCTTACATCTATTGGAAAAGTGAAGAAACATTAGTAAAGGTTTCCCTCAACAGATGATAGGCATAACCACAATATCCCACCCAGTAGGACACAGGACTGCAAAGGGTTAAAGCCTCATAATACAGCCTAACAAACTTGTTATGAATCCGATTTTGTACTAGCGAGTTTGTTTGCCCTTTGAACAAGATCAAGATCAAGTACAAGATTGAATAATAAAATGCATCGAGCAGACAAAATTCAAAATTTTTTTATTACTAAATAACCCTTTCTTCTGTTGCAGATTCAAAATGCCTAATTTAAGTTTTCAATAAAGAAAATAAAGATTCTCTATCATTTAGGAACATAAAACTCAATCAGTAATAGTGACAGCATGCAAGAGGAGTTTCCAGGATGTGAGGTGCCAACAGCTAAGACAATATGATAAATTCTGACAAAATGGAAGGGAAATAGGTTATTTAATTTAAAAATTTTGACTTTTGCCTGCTCAACACATTTTTTGACATACCCTGTATTATTCTGACATCTGACAACTTTGACAGTCAGCTGTTGGCCATGGGTACAAGTATGAGCATGGAACCCTGCTTCCACAAATATCATACTTAAAAACCAGTACTGAAGTCTGATGGCCTTATGGTATGTTTCACTCTGCATCGATTGTAATTTTGAGCATGAAGGTGTGTGAGATTCAAAATGATGGTGCTGAAAACCCCCCATATGGGGGTAGCACTTCACTCCACGCTACTCAGTCCTCGGGGAGACTAGGAGGGCAATACACTCACAGATCACCCTGTAATGTGGATTGGATGTCTCTTGAGTAGTGGTGCCTCCTGCTTCTGGAATCAAGGAGCATACAAGCACCTGTTGACAATCAGATCTGGACCCAGGAATGAGCCTCCAATGGGGAGACCAGCCATAGGCACACAAACATAAACTGCAGGACAACTGGCAAGAGAGGTTAAGACAGAAGGGGATGCAGGGTAAGAGAGGATGAGGTGAGGAGTCCTTCCAAGGAGGATGAAAGAATGGGGAAGCTGGAGAGGGGAAAGTGGAGTGGGTGAAAGAAAAAGGAGAAGGAGGCAGGAGAAATAGGAGAGTCCCCAAGGGAGGGACAAGGAATGGGATGGTTGGGGAGAAAGCCAGGCACATCAAGCAGAAAGGTTCCCTTTCCTCCTCTCTATCTGAAACACAATAGGAAACAAGACATTTAAAAATTAGCATTCCAAATCACTCTGACATTAGGATGTAATGCTGGCTTGAACTGATTCTGAATTTTGACCAATTTTAAAATGGGCTTTCATTGTGAAAAATACATGAATATGCTAGGGAAAACCCTCAGATATGCAGAGAAACCAAGAGAATGTACTTACATTTTGGCACAAGTTAGAAAAATTTTCTGCTGATAGTGCAACTTTAAGGCTGGCTTTAATCTTTCCAAAGATTGTAGACAACTCAAAGTTGCACTTTAAGTAAGAAAGTGTCTGAATGAGACATATCACCTTATCATCATGCTTTTGCATCCAGATGATACACAAACATTCTACCACATGAATGTTTAAAGTGCCAAGCATTGAGAACAGACCAAACTTTGACATCACATAATTTTTCCTTTGAAGCTGAAGACCATGGAATCCATTCATCAGTGTAATAAGAGCAAAGATGGTGAAGCAGAACCTAATCTGATGGATATGGCATTTTGATTTAACTGTGAAATTCAAAGAAAGGAAGACCTTTCAAGCAGCCAATTGCTACATGCATGAAAGTATTTTTCCCACAAAGCAAATCCCCACTCCACATGCCTTCTTAATCTGGTATCTTAATCTTATCTGTTGATCGCCTTTCAACAACTAAATATTATGCATCATTGGAAAAATAAATAAAGCAGCTTTCAAAAGATAATTTTCTTTCATTGAAACACATGATAAAAAGTATTCAAAGAAAGGAAGGGACTAAACCAACTCAAGAAGGTGCAGATAGTGAGGCTTTTTTAAAATTGACTTATAGTCAACCTTGGTATGCTACCACTCAATATACAGCTACCCTCACTTATTGCCAACTCTTTCCTGGAAACAAATCTCCCCCATGAGCTCATAATAGCTCCTTGTTATAGCACCACCCTCACAAGCTACCATCCATCAACGCCATCATTTGCATAAACATGCTTTTTCCCACAAGAATCCCCATAAATTTTGCTCCAAGTAGAATACATGCCAACACACTCACTCAGTACTAAACACAGCTAAACATACAGTATGTTGCCACAATGAGAGGTGGCTCATAGCCATAGAAGGGATAGTACATAGGGCAAGTGTTGAGTATAAAATAGGAATCAAGATGGAAATATAATGAAGTCACATCTATTAAGTCAGTTTGTCCTTCCATGATTTCAGTCTCACAGCCACTAGAATACCAAGGTTCAATCGATATAGTGCCACCAGCACTTAAGCACCCCCATTATTTGCCACAATCAACATCAACATCATTAGAACAGATCAATGTGTGTGAGATCACAGCCAGCTACAGCCCAACACCACCACTGGTACACCCATGGATTTGTTATGTCACAAATACTCAAAACAAACTAGAATATCACATCCTGAGAATGGCATTGGGAAAAGAGCTGATTGACCTATTTTGGGAAATGATTTTGGGAGTCTGTGGGACAGAGGAACAGACAGTTGAAGGCAGCAATCCTTATCTATCCAAAGTGGTCCATCACTTTTCAAAATAAGTCTCATTTTTCAATCTGGCCTTTGCCACAGAAAGAGTGAGAATAACCAACCACCACTACCACTCCTTCACTACTCCTGCTCAAGTACTTCATCTCACCCATCCATCACCAAAAGCTTCATAGAACCCACTTAAATAAAATTGGATTATTACTAACCTCAACTCAACCATCCCTAAATGTGCACAAGAGCAAGTAGCATTCCCTTCAAAGCCAAAATTTAAACCAAATAACTCTAGAAAATGCAAACAATGACCAGAGCTGCATTGAAGGAGTTAAAGCCCTTGGGTTTTGGGAACCCCTCCAGGTGTTAAGTGGGTGATTGGCTACTGCAATTGTTATGTCACTGAAATTCTCAACCACCCCTTGTCCAGTTTAAAATTCCAACTGGACCAATGCTGTAAATTCACACCCTTTCCAGCTGGCAAAGAGATAGAAAATATTATATACTGGCTATTTTACAGCAAGAATTTTTCAACTGGATTGCAGCTGATTTTAGCAATTAGAAAGTAGAAAATAGAAAATTTCCTGCTGTTTCCTGCAGGAAATTTTCAGTTAGAATTTTATAATGAGTATGCTCCAGCTGTAATACAACTGAAATTACAGCTGAAATTCAGCTGCTATGGACCTCCAGTAAGTCAAGAAAAAAACATTCTCAATCCACCTTGGATATTGGAACTTGGAACCAGCAGAAAGTTTCAGCCAGATATAATACTGGTTTTACTCAGTATGTGATGGACTTTTCCAGCAGCTGGATTGCCATGCAGGAAATGTCACTGGCTCCAATTGGGAATTAAAGAGCTGGCATTTCCCGACTGGAAAAACTGAGATCCAGCAGAATACAGCATGAGATTCCAGCTGGAAAAAGCATACCAATTTACAAATAGTCTGGTTGAAAATGCTCCAGCTGGAAGTGGCTCACATTTATAAATGGAAAGCTTGCTGTTTCTACCTGGAACTTTTTGCTGGGGAACCAATATGGATCTGACTTCACTTCTCAACTGTTTCCCAGCAAGAATGGGTCTGAATTTACAGCTGTGGTCTAGCTGGAAATAATAGCTGTTCCCAACTGTGATTTTAAGCTGAGTGGCCATCTCCTGACCTAGCACACCCCTCTTTCTCCCCTGATCATGACTGAGCTACCATACACAGAGCCTCCCTTCCAAAAGTCCTATAAACACCCCTAGGAGCAACTATTTACTTTAGCCAAGAAGTGCTTCAAGTTGAGACACATAACATACATGGCCTTATTTATAATTAGGGCTGACATTGGACTAATACAATTTGGTGACATTTTGCCTGCACCTGATCAGGCTGCTTAGTGTGATACAAGAGCAGAACTGTGTTCATTGCAGCTGTGGCTACTCAGCTTAAAATCCTGACTGGAAACAGCTATATTTTCCAACTGGACCCCAGCTGTAAGCTTGGACCCATTCCAACTGGGTAACAACCAGAAAGTAAAGTCAGATCCAGATTGATTCCTAGTTACAAGACTATTGATGGAATGATACTTTTTTTATTATTCTTGCCAGAGGTCCACCTACAGAAGGAGCTAAATTTCAGCTGTAATTTCACCAGTTTTCCAGCTGGAGGGTCCTCCATATAAAATTCTTACTGAGAATTCCCACCTAGAAACACTTAACAAAACCAGCTGCATTCCAGTTGAAAATGCCCTGCTATAAAACAACATGTGTACACCATTTTCCTCTTTGCCAACTGGAAATGGTTCAAATTTTCAACTTTTGTCCTGCTGTCAAATTCCAGTCGGGATTTTAAACTGGCTACAGAGGCTGAAATCTAACATGGGCTAGCCCTAACTTAGACCAAACTCTCACCTGATCATACAGGCTATTAGGCAATGTCCTGAAGGTAACACAGGCCCACCACATGAATCAGGAAGAGGGGGAGCCCATGAGTGCTGGCAGCTTCCAACGGCAACCACACCATTTCTTCTGCGGACCCGGCCTTAGGCCCTGTGATAACTTGAGGGAGTTCAGTTTCAGGCCTCAACCTGCTGGAGAGTTAATTCATTAGTATGACCTAGGCGTATGCTCATGCGAGACCTAACAGGCCTCATTCTTTGGTGCTGCCTCGAAAAAGTGAGTGAGAGCAGAGGCATTTGAGTGTGAAACATGGTATCGAGAGAATATCTAATCCAGGGTTGTCATCGACCCTCCTATACCAGCGAAGGCAAGTTATGATACAATATGCAGTAAAAAAATAAATAAATAAATAAATAAAGATAAAGAAGTCTGAAATGAGTCACAGAATTAATTGAACTTCGTTAAGACCTTGTACTTACCGGGCTTTTCCAGGGAAAGGGGATTGCATCCCAGATTAGAGGCTCACGGGGTGTAGCACTTGAGAAGTGAAAATGTGTAGCTGAAGATCCAGCTACCCACTTTTGCCGCTTTTCTTGCAGGCACTCGCTATCATCCCCCTCAGTCCATTATTCGAGATAATTATGGAACAAACACTCACAATGCCAAAGAGACCAACCTCAGCACGAAATTCCATCACTCAACAAGTTCCGGAGGTTTTCCAGAGTCCATCTGTCCACGAAGGTATAACGCTTCGAACGAGAGGTAAATCGATTGTGTGATCTTGCGTGTGCGGGCTTTCTAGAGAAGGCATTTTTCAAACATTGGTGTTAAGAGCTTCCTCAAAAGTTTTTGTTTTTCTAAACTTTTTAGAAAGCAATTTCATAAATTTTTTTAAAATGACCATACAAACTCGACCCATTCTTCACATCGCTTCCAGACTAGCTTTTCAAGGAGACATCCTAAGCATTCCTTTCAGCTCGGAGCGAGAGAGAACGACGTGGAAGACGGGACAAAAAAAATGGAACGGAATCGACGATGCTGCCATCTATTTGCGCATATCTGCATCGGCGTACGTAGACCAATCAAAATGAGCCATTTCTCTCTCTTTCTCTCTCTCCATCCGCCACACCCGACAACTACGTGCTTCAGTTGCAGGTAATCAATTTCCTGCTTCTAATCAGTCTCGGTTTCCGATGGCTGCGATTCGCACAGCACTCGAAAAACCCCTCTTGCTTTGGGTCGAACTTGAGAACACAAAAGCACCTCCTGCATCAGCTCTCAGACGGCGAATGAAAAGGGAGACAATGCTTTTTTTTTCTCATTTTCTCCATGGATCCACGAAAAGCTTGAGAATGTGAAATTTCGGACATTCCCAGAAGGGTTCGAACTTCAAAGAGGCAGACTGGAAGAGTCCGATCCAAACCGAGACAATAAAAAAACTCACGATCAAGAGTGAGTGAATCCTGTTCGCGTCTCGATCACGATGAGTGCCTTCACAGAATCTCAGCGCAACTCGATAAATGTCGTGAGTCACGCGTGATTCCTGTTGTGGACACTGTAACTGTAACTCGAAACGCGAAAGCAGTTCCTCTCTGGAAACAGAAACTTGCCTCATTAGACATTTTGGGGGACCGATGATCCAACTGAAAAAATTTCTGTCCACTCCGTAGTTGTCGTCTGGGTTGATAACAAGCCGGTTTCGAAACCCGACTGGCGTCCTATGCCAAGCTCCGAGAACTTGGGTGCGTTTCGAGGAACATGTCAAATGCACAAAGGATCGAGTAGGTCGAGCCTGTCTCTCAGGATTAGTCGATGCGGAAGACGCGGATGCAATCAAAGGAGGCTGCGGATTGTCTCCCGTGATATCTTGGCGAGTTCTATCGGGTCGTTCGATGCAGGAAATGGATGCTCGGGATGTGAGGTCTGCTCGCACTCGTTTCACATTTCGTCTTTGTTCATCGAAGTCCCATGGAAAATTCGCGTCCTCATGAGTCTCTACCGAGAAAGATCCGAGCGACTGGGGCGGCATGGTTCACGTCGTGTTCCTCGAGTTTTCTTCAGGCTTGCGTATGTGGTCGAAGGGGAATGCCTCTGCTTTCTCCGGTGTTTTCTACCAGATCCGACGACTTGTGAGGAAACGCATGAGCGATTGGCACTTGTTCACCATCAAGGGTGTGCTCACATTAACCCCTTGATTAATGTGAGCACACTTTCGCTGTCGCTAAATATTGTAGAAAATCTGACGAAAGGGCAAATATGCAACTTTGACATTTTCTACGTGAACAAGAATTCGTCGTATTTTCTGACTGAAGACTAATTCCTGAGAAATGCTCGCCTTTTCACGAAAGCTGAGACTCGTTGCTTCTCGGTGCAAAATCAAACATTTTCAGTTCTCATTCTGCAGTTCGAAAAATGGCCTAATTCTTGGCCACCTGAAAAATTCGAAAATACGTATTCGTCCTTTCATCAGAATGTCGACAATATCATCTCCCTTTATAGTTCTCAACTTGCTTCAAAGTTTCCACGATCTCCCCGCCCATAATATACCTATATGCGCTTTTTCTTATGATCGTTCATTTTCAGAAAATTTATTATTATTATGCAGATAATACAGAATATCCCTGCACGAGCAGAGAGTGATTGAATAATTCAACCACCTGCATGACATCTGTTCACACTTCCAAGTGCCAAACTCGAATATCGGTCTTTCCTTCTGAATTCGTGAAAAGCAGAATGAAATTCTGGGAACAGTGGCGTGCCCAAGGGGGGAGGGGGGGGGGGGGGGGGGGGGGGGGGGTTGGGGTTCATAACCCCCCCCCCCCCTTGGGGTCAATTTTACAGGTTCGACTCTCACAAATTTGGCCCCAAATACAGGGTGGGTAATCAATGTTTCATATGGCAACCCCTCCCTTTCGGATTTCCTGGGCACGCCACTGTCTGGGAATAATGCTGAAAGGAACTTCAATCCTCATTCAATAAGAGGATCAGCTGAAAAAAAAGCGATTGAAAGTGGTCGAGTAGATGTTTTCATAGACTTTTATTACCAGCTGCACACCTAAGTACTAAAATCCTGAGTTGCATAGGGAGCAGTGAAGGAAGTCACTAGAGGGGAGAGGGTGGCTCTATAAAGTGCAGTGAAGAAATAAAACGCATTCAGAAAAAGCTCATGTCCAGATGCAAGAGAAGACTGGGTTTTGATCAGCACCATTGCATTCTTTGTTCTTTTCCGTCGTGGATCCGCCGCTCATCCTACATCGTCCATAAAGGGGACACGTCAATCAAACGTCAAAGGGGGAGCTGGGTCTATGAGAGCAAAACACAAACTGGATTCGAGTTCTTCCTGTCTGAGGATCGAGTACAGTGATTGGATATGAATTCGAAAGACAGGTCTGGCAAAAATAGTCAGTCAAGGCCACAAAGACAGTGCCAATCTGATATCGCTCTACCAGATCTTGTAAATTTTTGCAGGCAAGGAATGCAAACTGGATCTTTGCAGTACTGGCTGGGTGTGATCACAGCATCACTTCTGCACGAAGGAATGGCAGAAAAAAATTCCTTCGGGAATGGTTCAGTCAAGAGAGACGGGGAGAAAAGGAGTCTCACTGGATATGCTCCCAAGGCAAGACATACATACACACGCACACACATACACACACACACATACACACGCACACACACACACACACGCACGCGCACACGCACACACACACGCACGCACGCACGCACAAGCATATGCACATTCATGCACCCAGGTGACCCCAGTCCACTCTCGTGCTCTTGCACACACTCACTCTTGTCACAAATCCAGCTCATACCAAGATCACAATGAATCACAAGATGATGTTCTCTCAGGAGGGGGCATTTTTGAGTTTTTGGAAGCCAACGGCATCATAGGCATGACTCACATCCAGCCGTTCGCCTCCCAACACGTCCAAATGGAAGGGAGTCGACGTGTGGAGGGCCTCTTGATGCCAACCTTGATGCCCATTGTGATTCACTCCATTCACATGCCCGTTCCCTGGGCTCTCTGGGCCCGAACCCAACTTCAGAAAAGAAGGAAATCCAACCATGGAAACAGTCATATGCTTCGAATGGCAAGATGCATCTTTGAAATAAATTTTAAAAACTCTTCCTTTACAAATCATTTGGCATAAAATCTTTGTTATAAATTTTTTTTCCTGGTCCATTGAAATGATTGTGCAATATTGATGTTTAAATCGAGTCAACAGGGCTACAAAGGAAACCGTCCAAAACAGTAGTAGGAGAAGGAAGTCCAGAAATTGCCTGACCTGATGGACGGTGGTATTGGGGTCAGTTTGCTCCCTGAGATAGGAAGGATTTTCGAAGGAGACCCCCTCAGCAGTGGCCTTATGGCCAAAGAGTCGGTACTTGCGGGCATAAAAGAGGAGCCCCACGGCTATGGCCCCTATGGCCACTAGGGCCACCAGGATCCCCACCACTGTCTCCACAGTCCCTCCTCCTACAATGGGCGATACAGTTTTGTATGACGCAACACATGCAATTGTAAAGGAGATATGAGAAGTTAAATTCAATGAGAGCTTGGGAAGGAAATAAAAAGAAAAAACTAAAATAAAGGAACTCATGAAATGAAACAAAGGAAATGAACCATGATTGGAGAGGGAAATGCAAAAAATATTAAATTTACATGAAATACGTGAAGTGACTCAGACGTGAATCATACGTGAATCAGAGACAATGAAAAATATATATGAAAAAAGGGAAAATATGACATAATAGTATAATTAAATATGAATGCATTTACATGCAGAGATATATAAAAAATACAAATATTAGTAGATGAAGATACAAATTCACATCAAAAGTGTGAAACAGTCTTGGTCATGGGAAGCATTTGAAAGGCAGAAACCTTCATCCTTCTGACATTGAATTGAGACTGGGACTGACAAACCAGCCTCACTGGAATAATTACCCAGCTGTATGCCTAAATGAAAGAATGATGGTAGAGGAACTGACTGTGAGAGACAGGTTCAGAGTAGGACTTGGCATGGGTGGAGAAGAGAACAGGCTGTGTGAGTTGACTAGTGCCATAATTGTTCCCAGCCTTCACGGCTGCCTCGTACGAAACCCCTGCCTCCAGGCCTCCAATCTGAAGATGGGTCTCCTTTGTGTCTGTCTTTTCGGCTGATGCACTTCCCACTGGGCGCCAAAACACCCTGTATACATGATAAACCCCACATCAGTCCAATATCTAAAAGAAAAGCCTGCAACAGCTGATGCTTGTGCTCACAATAATAGCAACCCTCTCTCACTTAGTCATACAATGGCTCAAGTTCATGAATTGATGAAAATACTGGAAATGAGAATAACATTGTAACTCTTATATATTAACATGATGGCTATCTTTTATAGCATTATATTATATGCTTCTAATACTTGTGCTGATAATGATAAATTCATAATATTACTACTAATTTCAAAGCAGAATTAATAACAGGGATCTGAGTGAATTATCTCTGATAAGAAGACTAATTAATATGAACAGGTGTAGAGGAGAGGCTTCATAGCATATCCCAGGCAAACAGGCACAGGAAGGTCTGGGGTTTGGTCCCCAACATCATGTTGCATTCTGCAAGTTTTCATGTCAATCATAAGGCATACCTGTAGGCATCAATCATCTTGGCGTTCTTGTCTGGGGGATCCCAAATGACATTCACGGTTACATCATCCACCGGTTCCACATGAACATTTCCTGGCATCCCAGGCAGCATATCTATGTATTATCAAAAACACATGGAATTCTTATGTTAATTCCTTCAAGATAAAGCATATATTGGCATGGTTAACAGATGCTTGAATGAAGGTACTCACTCAAATTACAATTTACATGGAAATGAATCATAATCATGAGAATTGTGAATTAAGATTTGAGTCAGAGGCATCCAGCCTCTGACTCAAATCCTTGGAAAGGAGGGGTGAAGGGTAAGATAATATTCTGGGAGATATCCCAATTTTAATTCTCCAGCAACTACAGTTTTGGAAATTTTCCTTACAGACTGAAGTATGAGTATTGAGGAATTACACATGACCATTGAGAAATTATTAATCATATTTTTCTCTTCCATAGAATGAGTGTGAAGTACCTTTGCCCTCATGGAAGCAAGAGAGCATTTGCTGGAGGAAGGAGATGAGGCAGAGGGGTGCATTGGGGACTGCCTCACCTCGGCACCAATCCAGGCACCTTTTTGGTACACCCCACTGGCTGCAGCACCCACGGTGGTCACTCCCATCTGGTCACAAGTCAATGAAGTTTTGAAAATTTGAAACTTCAAATACTTTTACAAGAGTGACTAAATGGAAACTCTTCATTTTAAATTTCCTAAGACACCATTCTGTAATTTCTCTTTTCTTTTTCAACATTGGGGCAACAATAATGGCATTAAGACGCTAGCATACCTGCAGCACACTTCATGATCTTGTAGTATTCAGGAATGCAGTGAGGGTTGTCAGCTAGGGACTCAAAGTCCACATTCATCCAACATGCATCAAGACACTCAGGGCTCACTCCCTCCTTGCGGCAGCATTCTGACACATTCATCACCTTCTCCTGCTCATATACATATATGGCACATCCTTCATTCAATCCCATCATCCTCTGATCGCCATTACCAATGCACTTCATTCTTTCAACCAAAAGCTGCTAAATGCATGGATGTTATTTACATTAAGGTATTTCACAGTAAATGACAAAAGTCGGGGATTTGGATTCTACATTCTATCATGAATGCCAACTGATTGACTTTTGTATTTTACCTTTCAACTATGATGCAAGTCCGAAATAAACAGACACTGAATGCTACATTTAATTATGAATTATGTTTGGGGTCACACCCTCAGGAGAAAAGAAAGAAATATTTTCATGTATGCCAAGATATGGCAGCACTGGAAGGATAGGAAAGTAAGCTTCAATGTCTGAAAATTTATAAGTTGGTGGTTTCCTCTAAGTCTGGATATGTTTACCAAATTTCTTCATATAATATAATACTTTCTGCCATAAACTTACCTAACTTAGAGCTTAACTTCATTACATGAAGATAGTTAGGATGAAGGCCATGAAATTTCACACATCTTGACAATGTTAAGGTTTCCAGGCTGGAATCCACTGGAACTCAGAATGACCTTCACTGTTGGCAGCAATAATAAGGATGGGAGAAAAGGAAGAGAACTCACAACACGAGGTCGGACGGAAACCTGAATAACCTGGGACATGTTCCCAAAGGCATTCTCTGCAAAGCATCGGTATTCCCCATTGTCCGATGCATTCACTGATGATATCCCCAACCGCATCAAGTAGTACCCAGGGTTCTGATGGAATATTTAAAAAAATCATGCATCATAAATGCATGGTAATATTGATAATTATATTCATGCAAGCTTCATATTTACTGCTAAATATTTACTGCCTAATAGCAATCAAAGATGAAGACAGACCTCAAAGGAATCCCTGACTTGGATGTCATACTTCCCTCCATGGATCACTGGCTTATCATTTCTCCACCATACCAATCTGGGCTTTGGATATGCATCAACCTGCACAGATTCAAGCACAATAAAATGGAAGAGCTCAACATAACAGTCTGAAAAAAAAATGAAATTAAGCAGTTATAGATACAAACATCTAATTCAAGTAGCTTCCACTTGCCAAGCATACAAAGACCAGCAAACATATGACATCAAAATTTTTTTCCACATGGAGACTTGAGTTTTTCAAAACCATGCCTTTGTTTTGCATCTAGAAATTTCCAAAGCTATGGATTGGTCTTTAAAACTCAGTGTCCACTTTCATCGCTAACATCCTCTCAAGTAAAGCTTATGGTGCCAGAGTCAAATATCAGCGTGCACTCTCTTCAACAGGTTGACCACTGTGAGAGGTGCACCGGTGTGCCTCACTGAATGGGAAAATCAATAGGCCAGCATTGCCATGGCAGTCAACATGTTAAACTGACTTACAACACATAAAAAGATTAAGGAGGCTTTTTTTTGTTGTTGTTGCTCATCATGGCTGGTCAAAGGCATGGCAAAATCAATGCAAAATATTTTTGTTCTTTGTAATAAGACACTACCTACCAGGTGAAAAATGTTTAACAACATTGTTACTATCAATATATAGTCCTTCGGCTTCATATGTAGCATCAACTCAAGATCATTCTTATGTGGAAAAAGTGAGGACCAAGAGTAAAATCTAGGATTGGTCTGTTATGAATTGGAATGGGATGGCAAATCTCTTAGAATAGCTTCTGTCATTGAGAGACTGGAGACAGGAAAAAGTGGGAGATGAGACAGAGGGATGATTTTGTTAAACAAGAAATCCCTGAGGAGTGCTCAGAGATTCAAAAAGTAACACTCATCAAATTTATGTTTGTTACACCTGTAACACTTGCAGATCATAATTTTCAGAAAAGTTGAGACACTAGCTCATCAATATGTACTGCAGGATTATTAAAATTAATTTCATATATGCAAACAAGATATAACACAGGAAACCATTCCACCATGTTCAAAGAAAATGATGTACCTGACACTCAAGAGTGACACTGTCGCCCTCAGATGCTAGTGTCATGTCTGCTGCCTCCAGTAAGGGCTTTCCTGGGAATGATAAAAGGTTGAATTTGATCAACACCATTGGCTTTGTAGCGTGCATATTAGGTCAATGCCTTGTCCACATAATCAAACACTTCATTAAATTTTTTTTCATAACTTTCTCAAGAAAACCTGATAGCTTTTCAAGTACTAGCAATGCCTCAAAACATCATATCCCAGTCTGAACACCAAAATGAAATTTAAAAAAGGACACAGTTGAAAACTTTTAAAACTACAAACCAAGAATGAGTAACTTGATCCAACTAGGAATAAATGAGATCTATTAAGCCAACAGATATGAGTTAAATCTGATTAGTTGTGGCAAAGAAAAATGAAAGACAGTCAAAGAGTTCCAGAAGTAGTGAGGAAGAAAAGGGATGACATACGGCTGATGAGGATGTTTCGAGCTGCCTGGGCTGGAGACCCAAAGCCATTGTCAGCAAGGCAGGAGATCTGTCCCATGTTCCGTGACACATTTGCCACAACAGCAACTAGGTGCCGGGTCGTCTCGTTCTTCACCAGGCGACCCGCAACATACATTGATACTGCCGGTGTGGGCTCTCCCATTGCAATGCAAACCACAGTGATATTGGAGCCCTCCAGCACCAGACTCGTTGGGTGGATTGTTGGTGGCTGCCAATGCAAACAAATTCATGGATTCACACATTTGTTCATTCCAGAGAGGAGAAGTAAATATGCTTCAACACCTCAAAACTTTAGAATTTTGTTTCTGGTAAAGGATGTTCTATAAGAATTTGCAGTGATGTCACCATCAAATACCTTTAGGCTTCAATTTCCATTTGGCCTTAGTAACAGAAAATCCATCCACAGAACCAAGTCCAGCTATTGTCATATGTGATGGGTAGAGCCTAACATTTCAACTGATGACATCAGCTTGAATTGCTTTAAAACCTTCAGAAAGAATCATGATTTAAAACTGTGACTTGTTCTTATAAAAAAAAAAGAAGAATCAATGAGGAAATATTCCACTTTCATCTCTGAAAAAAGGATTTGGTTAGGATAGAAAACAATAATGTGAAAAGGACTGCATGAGTTTAACAAATTGTGAAAAAAAGAACCAATCTCAACAAGAATTCTGTTCACAGTATCCAACTATTACCAGACGAAGATTATAATCAAAGACTGAAATGCTTTAAGAAATTTCTTCAAAGGATATACCTCAACAAAGGCAGGGTAGAAGGGATCAGTCCAAGCAATGAGGGTCTCAGAGGGGTGACTAGAGCCCTTTTCACCCAATGTCCTGGCATAGATGACATACTGAGTATTTGGTTCCAATCCATCCAGCTTCGTCCACGTCTTTTGTGTCCTTGTCTCCGCAAACTCTGTCCCGTTCAGTGTCCGGTGAAACAACCTAATCCCAAAGAAAACTCTGATGTTCCATCATGATAGGCTTCAGGGATGGAAAAATGAAGGAATCAATGGCTGGGGTAAATACATTAACACTTGAAGTGTTTATATATTATGCCTTTGTATCCTCCCTATTCAATAAATCAATTCAAATTTCATGAAGGATGAAGATACAATAATGAATTTGAGTTAATGAAAGGAAGTTCTAGAATTTCAACTGGCTAAAGAATCTTCAGTTCAAATTTTTAGTTCATGGATATCTGCCTCAACTACAATTTTCTAATTTCATTTTCCTGAAAGCATCATCTATGTGGCAATAAAGGGATACTTTATACACAGCCTAATATTTCTCAACCACACATGTAAAGATCCCTTTTTAATCTGAAATTTCTCAAGTGGAATTGAATGTCACACAATCATAGTATGCTTAGTAACTTGATCATCACATCTTTCTTTGGAGAGATTTCATATAGCCTTAGCTGAAATATAATATGAAATGAAATGTGCAATATATGTAATTGAAAATTTAAAAAATAATGGATCAAGTAGAAAGACCAGAAACAGTCCCTCATGGATACCCTACAATGGTGAATGATTTTTTTGCAACCTGCATCAGAACTTATAGAGCTGGAAGAGACTACTGCACATAAATGGCAGCAGTATGGGGATCCATGACGAGTATATTAGATGACACAAAGCACAACAGATGGATGTATGTGACACATACTTGTATTCCAGGAGTTCAGAGATGAGGGAGATTTCAGGAGGGAGCCAGGAGATGAGGAGATAGGTGGAACTCTTGTCTGCCACAGTGAGAGAATGTGGTGGAGGTGGCACTCCTGCTACTGCCACCCCTTGGTAGCCTGTAAAGCACAAACAACAGATACAGCCACAATGGAACAAAATCAGCATCAGTGCTTCCATCACAGATGCCATATTCTAAAACAGTACTTCTCTCCAATAAGAAATGAAAATGCCAAGGAGAAATTCTTGCTTGAACTTTTTACTCTCCCCTGTTTTTCTTTTCTTTTCTTCTGCAACCTTCAAATATACAGTTTCTTGTGATCGTAAGGTCTCATACCTCCAATTTCTCTATTAATTCTCATTCTGTTGTCTTTGTCTCATTGCATTTTCAAATTACACAACTGCTCTCTTTTACCACAGGAATATTTTGAAAATTCCTGCAGTAAAAGAGATGTATTGAATCTATTGCTGCCTGCTGCCAAGTAAAAGTATCCATGGCATAAAAAGGAAATGAGGCCCTCTGTCAGGGCCTTTGAATAGTGAGTCACTTTCAAATCCTCCTGGGCTCATATGATATAAAAAGTTCTTAGACATTGCCTGAAGTAAGCACTGTCCAGACGTTCCCCTATGCATCTCGACGAGCATAATTCCCAGCTAAGCCCTCTGCTGAGTACAGTACCATAGAAAAGTACTGTAGATTGGAGGAAAACTCAAGTCCCATTAAGTAACCATGAAGTCCTTTCAAAATGTAACCCCTCCATTTACTCCTCAATTTTGGCTGGGAAATTTGCTCTCAACAGTGAAAATACAAACTACACCAAAGGACAGTGATGTACACAGCGATGCAGCAGCATCTTACAGTGTAAAATGTATGTTTTATATTTTAAAATTATGTATAAATACCGCAGGTTCTCAAAAGATCATGAAGAGAATTGAACCAGTTTGCAATGAGGCGAAAAGCTGACGTTTACTTCCCTCTCTTTTTCCCTGTATGAATCACTTATGAGATTGGGCTGTCAAACTGGGGTAGGTTCTCATTTTGGTTGAAAACCAAATATACGCCATGAATATTCAATAATGTGCCTAGTAATTAGGTTTGTGCGTTAATCTTTCCATAAATTAATCGCATGGGAGGGGATGACACCTCCCATAAGGAGATTGGATTCTAGGGTGGGATATTTGGAGAAGAAATCAATATCGAAGGTAGATGCCGTAATTCCATGCTACCTGAAAAAACAATCACCAAAAATGTTTGTTTTTTCAATCACAAGCAATCTCCTAATTATCGACTCATTATCGAATTATCGACTCGTCTTGCTCCTCTTCATATGCCGGTGGGAAAATGAAAATGGTACATAAAATTATCACTGCAGCTTCACCAAATCCAGGATTTAAAAAATAATAATAATCAATTCACATTCGGAAAACAAACTGCAGCTGAATCATTAGAAAAATGACTCAAGATCATTATAAACGGACGGAATCGAATTCAGACATCACTGGCTGGACTCACTCGTCTCGGAGACATTCACGGTGATAGAGGACGAAGGGAGGGAGAAGCCGTGCTCGTTCCAGGCCACCACCACGAAGTCGTACTCCTCCGCGTTGGTCAGGTTCCCCAGCACCACCTTCTCCTCGCTCACGTTCATCTTCTGGAGGCACACAGAGGGGGAAAATGAGTGTCAAAATAAATTTTAAAAAATAATAATAAATCCCCGCTATCCCGCTTCCCCCACCCCCTCCCCCGGGTTGAACAGAGTTGCTTGCACACGTGAGTCATAAAGGAGAATGGTCTACATAAATAGATAAAAACTTAAAGCCAGCAGACCTACACAAATTTGGCTGCAATTATAGCATAAAAACGTGATGAAACGTTACCACTTTTTTTTTTCATCACTAAAGGAATTCGAGGGAAAGGTTACGCTGCAAAGCTTTTGAACAGGAAATAAAAAAAATAACGAAAATTCACAGCAATAAATTTTCTCGAAACAGGAATAGGAAAACAACTGAAATAATTTTTTAAAATTAATTTAAACGAATGGAAACTCGGTACCTGGCTCATCGTGAGATCGGGCGCCCCACCGAAAGCCGCCGACACCTTCTGGAACCGGACCTGATATCCGGAGACGTTGCCTTCCACGGGTCGGTCCCACATGAGGGTCACGCTGTTGTTGGTCACCCCCAGCAGATGGAATTCCAGGGGGGGGCTTGGAAGCAGCCCTGTCCCTGAACACGACCAAAAAAAAAATATCCTTATCCTCAAACACAAGCAAGAATTAGCAACGGTATTTTTTTTTTCATTAAAAATATTTTTTAAATATCCCCGGTTGACATCCGCACGGCAAGGCGGTATGTCGACTTTCACGACTGAGAATGAAGCTGACGCGTTCTGAAACCATTTGCCAGTTACCATGCACTCTTATTTCGCACCGAAATTCCAAGTGAGCATGTTCCTTCGATCCATCGACACTTCATCTCTTAGCAAGCTCGAGAGAAACTCATGTCTGTCATGGCCATTACACCGCTGATGAACGGGTTAAAACCCAGAAAGCACGTGACAGCGCGCGTGCGTTGGCCCAAGGCCGAGGTAGAATGTGAAAGTGGGGCGATGGCATCGGTCCAACACTGGCAACAAGCAGGTGGGCGATGTCGGGCATATGCAACCCGTCAGTGTCCAGTCCATGTCGGCAGACTTTTCGTGTAACTCCATTCGCAGTCGCGAGTCGATGACAAGGACGTGTACCTGCTCGCCCCCTCCCCCTCCCCCGCCGCCCCCCCGCACATACTCCAATTCGTGAACCCACATGCCACCCTTTCCTACCCACACAGATGAATATAAGTAGGCTTCAGACTCGAGAGAAAGGAGTTCAATTTTGCCTGTTTCGGAAAAATCCACACTTGCGGGCAAAGTGACAAAATTAAAGAAGAGAAGATCATCTTGGTCGTGGCCTGTGCATCCGGCCAGTTTCCGTTAACAATTCACATGGTCAACGACACCATACCAACGCCGTCAGCTGTCGACACGACGCTTGTCTGAAGCAAGCCTCACGTGTAGGACCACGTCCACCGACTCGGCCAGTCATTGCGAGTTGCCTGCCAGCATTTCCCTCAGATCGATGCCGACACGACACACCCCCCCCCCGCCCCCCTCGCCCCCTCCCGATCGAACTTACCTTCCTGGAAGCACTGGATGATGTTCCCGATGAACCCGAGGCAGAAGCTCGGATTGTCCCGAACCTGCGGCGTGATGATCCCCTGACACAGCGGCGCACAATTGGGATGCACCCCCGTCCTGTGACAGCACTCCGCATGGTCTCTCCCCCCGCTCCCACACCTGAGCAGCGTGTGGAAGTGCTCCTTGCAGCTCGGGCCCAGTCCCCGCACCACGCTCATCTTCACGTCGTAGGAGCACAGCGGCATGCACTCTGAAATTCCACGAAGCTCGTGAGACTCCCAATTCCTTCCCCGTATGCGAATCCGACTCGTTCGATCGTTTCGCCGCGCGAAATCTCGATTTTTTCCCACGACCTCCCGCAGCCGTGCGTGACCGAGCTTACGCGGCGTGCGTGACCCGTACGAGTTTCCATCGTCTCGTCGAGAGATTACAGCTTCACGGCCCAAGAAAGCCAAAGATCCACGAACCCACGCACTTCCAATGAATCCCAGCCGAATTTCAGACGAATCCCTGCCTCATTCACACACTGCGGCTCTTCGATGCTGGGCGCGATGAAACGCCACGCAATGGGCATTTGTGCACGAGCGATGGCGGCATGTTGCAACCTCCAATTTTTTTTCACGCCCAACATTGAAAAGCCGCAGAGTGTGACTCTCAAAACTAAAAAAAAAAAACCGAATCATTCTATGTTGTGTCAATCACGAAACTCGCGTAATATTAATGGGAGACACGTTGAGAAGCGAAGTGGCTTTTTTTATTGGTGTCGACTCAGGTTGGTTTCGAAACCGACTTGATATTAAGGCTGTGCAGCCCCAACGAAGAAATCCGGTCGTGAGTCGAAATTCGTGATGAAAACGACAGGGCGTGGTTTTTTTTTCATTATTCCACGATATTCGCCTTCGACTTGGCTCAATATTCAAAACGAAATAGGACTCGTCGAGTAATTTTTACACGAAATAATCCATCTGCACTATCGCGACCCCAATAACAACGTGACCCCGGTGACCTTCGCCACGAAGACGCAGTTTTCTCGTCTCATCAACCTCTACTGCGCGTAACTCTCGCAGACGCGATAAAAAATAAAATTTTCATTAAGCGCAGCTGCACTTTTGGGCGCTCCGAGACTCGCAACGTCGAACTCAACCGAAAGGCTATTCCGTCGGTCTCCGTCGGTCCGACGCACCCGCCGCATGGAACGCACCCAATTTATTTCCTTTCGATTCTCGTGCTGGCGAGAGCGACACCACGCGCCAGGCATCGGGTCCTCGCTTTTCCTCCCGTAATTTTCGGCATGCCGACCGTGCGCGTCTGACATTTCACGCAGGTCGTTTCATCGAGTCGGTATCATGCCTTCAAGATTTCCTCATGCATACTATTTAGGGCCGAGATTTCGGCTAGGGTCGACAACAGGGCGTTCCACGGCGGAAATACAACTCGACGCGCGCCTCACCAGAGACATCTAGCGTCGAATCGGGACATCTTTCATCACGAGCGATGAACTCGACGTCAGAATTACTTCCTCCTCGTGCATTTCCTGCATGCCCCGTACCCGGCGACCCGGCTTTAATGGCCCTAACCCGATGCGTGAGGGGCCTCCAGAGGTGAGGAAGGGTGAGGAAGGGCGGGGAAGGGCGGTGGAGAAAGGACTGCGAGACGATCCTTTCCCCACCGGTTCTTCCTCATTTCTCATCTGCCATCGTCGGCGCCCCAGATTCCAACCCTCTCCGTTGGGAGAAATAGAGACAAATAATAATATTTTCCTCCTATCAGAACGATGTTATGGCTAGACTCGCGTTCCGCGTTGCATAATGATCCTTTGTCAGAGGGAGCATTACCGCCCGGCAACATCACACGGTAACCGAATAAATGGGATTCTGTGCGTTAACGTCATCTGGAGACTGAGCAAGCGCGAAATTTAATCCTTGAAAGTCGAACGAGTTCCACGATGAGTCTCGAAACCGTTTAAAAGCCTGTCTCCGCCCCACAAGAAATATCCAGCGGGAGCCGAGAGAATCCCACACCACTGCTGTAGGCACCTGCTATAATAAGAAACACGAATTTTTTTTTGCTGGAACATTACACCTTCGATTGACCTCTTACGACGCAATCTGCCGCATCATTCGATACATCGCACGTGTCGCCTGAATCTATTAATACCTGTCGCCGGCTTCCCGGTGCCGACCCCCCCTTCGATCTCACCCCCCCCCCCCCCCCCCCCCCGCCCCCCCCCCCCCCCCCACCCCCCCCACC